CCGTTTTCTTAAGAATGTAGTACAAACAAACAAACAAACAAGATACAAAAAACCACTTGGTGTGCCTGAAGTCTCAAGAATCTGGTACCTTCAGGAACAAATGAAACAAACATACGAAAACCAAGTGAAATGGGGTAAAAAACACAAAAACAAAAAAGAAATTATTGTGCCAAAGATTCACTACGGAGAATCAGTGTAATATTAAAGTGAAGGACAAATCAGAACTAATATATAGATTAAGCATGGCCGCTCACAGTTGACGGAAGGTGATATTCTCTAGGCCAGTTACCGAATGGGTTCTCCTTTTTAGTGTATGGTTACAAGTATTGATTTTGTTGCGAGAATCTTTTGCAAAGCCAAACCACAAAGAGAATGAGAGAAGAGAAGAGAAAAAAGAAAAAAAAGAAAATAAGCACCAGCATAGACTGATCTTCGTGACTGATGGGAGACTTTGACTCACGGCTTTCCCAGTTACTCGAGTGGATTGGCTCCACGCAATGTGACAAAAGTGTGCCAGGAGAGACCTACATCTCCCCTGATCTTACAGTGCAGGATGTGGAAGGCTCAGGAAGGGGGGTTTATGCAAAAGGAAATATCAAACCACACAGCTTGATCATCAACATTCCTCATGGCTTCTTATTGAACTTTGTTACAGTGCTAAATCATATCGCCCAGTACAACGGTATGAAACTTGACAACCATTCGAAAGTGCCGCTGCATATCGTTCATGACTCGTACACCAAAATATATCAAAAGCTATCTAAAGATGAATTGCTCAAGTTGTCGTCATTTCAGTTACTATCCATGTATATAACCATAGAAAGGAAACGAGACTCGTCTTATTGGAAGCCATTTATTGAAATGCTACCCACCATTGATGATTTCTTGTTGATGCCTATAAACTATGATTGTGGCATCTTAGAGTTGTTACCTAGGTCAACCAAATTCATGCATGAAAAAGTCCTCCAAAGATTTAACCTAGATTACCAAGTCGTCGTTAACCTACTAAGCCTGAAAACTGGCGACGTTTCATCTATTATTCCCAAAGACGAATTTCTTCTTTCATGGATCAGTATCAATTCACGTTGCTTGTACATGAAGTTACCTACTAGTACACATAATCTGGACAATTTCACGATGGCACCGTACATTGATTTCATTAATCACTCTCCTGATGATCACTGTAATTTGAAGATTGACAATAAGGGGTTTCAAGTATTTACAACGTCGAACTATCCGACTAATGAGCAACTATACTTCAGTTATGGGCCTCATAGCAATAACTTTTTACTTACTGAGTACGGATTTATTATAGCTGATAACAAATGGGATGACATTGATGTATCTGAGGATATATTGTCGTTGTTGAGACCAAATCAGGTTGAGTTTTTAAAACAGCATGATTATTTTGATAACTATACGATAAACAAGGATGGGATGTCGTTCCGAACTGAAGTAGCATTGGCTACATTGCAAGAATCAACTCCTCAAGAATCACGGCGTTTGATTGCTTTGATCAATGGAAATTTCGACGGAGCGTCTTATAAACTCACCTCATCTGCAATCATGTCCAAGATTTTGGAAAAAGTGATACATGAGGCGGAACGATACCAGTATCTACAATACTCAGATGAGTCAGATTTAATCATAAGGGCAAGGAAAAGAACTATAGGGGCTCTATATAGGGATCGTAAACAACTCTCCCGCGTAGTCATCGATAGTCTTACTAAATCATATACTTAAAATTGCATCAGCGGCAGCTTTATCAATGCCTCTGGCCATACTCAACTTCGTCTTGACCATACTGGTAATCATAGAATTCGTAAAAGTTGCTTTATTGTGCTTTTTCCCCAAAAAGGACACATATCCGTTTAAGTTCTCTATTTCGGTGTTTCTCAAATTTCTAACGTCTTGTCTCATCGAAGAGCTGTTCGACGATGTTGCTTTACATACGGATGTAACAATGTCCAAGAGCCTTTGGTCATTCAAAAATGCTTTTGACTGGGGTATATCGTGCAAAATAGGATATTCCAAGAAAAACATTTCCAGACATTCACTTATTATTGACTTCCATAACCTGACAACCTCATCGCCGTAAAGTAGATTTCCATTATTAACATCGAATATAGCCGTTAACGGATTAATGCAACAATTTATTACTAATTTTTGCATTTGGAGTAAGATAAAATTATGGTAATTCACATACTCCGCATTCAAAGTGGGAGTATCTAAAATTGCTTGGATCATCTCTGGTAACTCCTTGATTTCCATATTATTCTTGTCACTTACTTGCAAAGTTCCCTTTGATGCATGATTTACTAATCCATTTTCATCAACATACACCCCATGCGTTGTGATAGCCTCAAAGAATTTGGGACTGTTTGATCCATTTGCCCAAAAACGATTCATAAGGAATTCAGGCATGCCCATACCATTTTGTAAAATCAATATGTTTGACTGCGAAGATAAGTTCTCAATATAGGGTTGTAAAGCAGCCTCAGTCTGGAAACATTTCGTAGCGATAATCAAATTATCTATCATCTTCCCTTGTAAATCTTTAGCCTTTCCTGTAGGAATTTCAACAATTGAGTCCTTTGTTCGATTATTATCATTGAAGCACTTCACTCTCACAAATTGGTCTTTTATTGATGATTTATTAGGTCGGAGTAAAAGTGTTGGTGAAACAGATCGTTGTGGATTCAACTTCAAGTCATGGGCTAAGAGAGATCCCAACGCACCTGCCCCTAATATATGTACTTTGACGGGCTCAGCTAGTTTTTGAATTGCTGTCATCAGGATGCTGGTAAATGCTTATGCCGTGAAAAAAAAAACGATTTGTGATGATGATTTGGGGTATATATTTTCGCGAATATTATAATCAAAGAGCATTCACAACGGACGATTACTTACCAGCCATGCTTATCGTGGGGCTTACGGGCGGAATTGCATGTGGTAAATCAACGGTGTCTCATGAGCTCAAAACAAAGTACCATTATACTGTGATTGATGCAGACTTGATTGCTAGAGAAGTGGTATTGCCGGGAAAGCCTGCTTATAACAAAATTGTCACTTCATTCAATGATGTCCATGGTTTACTACATGATGATGGGTCCCTCAATCGAACCGTTTTAGGACAAGTAGTCTTTCAAGACAAGAAGAAATTAAAGACACTCAACTCTATAGTGCATCCGGCTGTTCGATGGGAAATTGTTAGGCAAATATTAGGGGCATACATGAGTTGCAAGAGTTTAGTCATTTTGGATGTTCCGTTATTGTTTGAATCTCAATTGTACATGATATGTGGACTAATAGTTACCGTTTCAACAAAGTCAGAATTACAAATTGAAAGGTTACTCGCTAGGAATACTGAATTGTCGAAGGAAGATGCAGAGAACAGGATCAAAAGTCAAATGACCAATGAGGAGAGAAATTATAAAAGTGACATCGTCATTGACAATTCTGGATCTGTCTCTGGTTTAAAAGATACTATTGCTATACTTGCACGAGAGATTAAACCAAAAAAATTTTGGACAATTTTGGACTTGGTGCCTCCGATTGGAATTGCATCTGCATTGTTCACATTCCTAATTAGAAGAATAACGGAAATATACAAAGGCCAGAAACCAAAAAATAGTTAGATATACTAAATTTAACCTTGGGTTTGACGTACTCCACTAACAATATCGTCCACTCTCAAAAGTAAACAGGCACTCTCAATCGCAGTCTTTATTGATTGTTGTTTGATAACCTCAGGTTCCCAAATTCCATAGTCAGTCATATCCACCACTTTACCATTTTCCCCATCTATTCCAAAAGTGTAATTTCCCAGCGCTTGCTTGGCTCTTAATTGTGATAATACTTTGATTGGATTTCCACCACAATTCTGAATTAGTGTCCTAGGTATAACTTCAAATGCATCTGCAACAGCTTGATATGGATATTGCTCCACGCCTTCAATGGTTTTTGCCTTTTCAGCCAATCTAACACTACAAGCCATCTCAGTGGCACCTCCACCAGGACTCAATGAGGGTTCAAACATGACATTTCTAGTAACTGCCATGGCATCATGTAGGTTTCTTTCTATTTCATTCAAAATGTCTTTCGACGCACCTCTCAATATAACAGTACAAGCTTGGGGGTCTTTGCATTTGACAAGAAATGCAAAGTATTCATCGCCGATCAATTCAACCTTGAACTCACCGCATTTGGTGCCAATATCAGACTCCTTCAAATCCTCAACCCTATTTACAATGGTTGCTCCTGTTGCTCTGGCAATTCGGTTGTTGTCCGACTTTTTCACCCTCCTCAATGCCGAAACACCGCCCTTCAAGAGGTAGTGTTGTGCCAAATCACTTACACCTTTTTCTGTTATAACTAAATCGGGCTTGAATTCCAAAATTTGGTCACACAACAACTTAACTTGCTCTTCTTCGATTTGTAAGATCCTGTTCCAATCGTCCTCTTTCGTAATTTCTATATTTGTTTGCGACTCTCCTTTCTTGTACTCCAATGGACAATCTAATAATATGATCCTAGGGTTTTCAATGTGTCTTTTCATTTTTGGATGTACGACATCTTTGTTCAACAAAATTCCATCAAGAACCTCAGAATCGGCAACTTCTCCACCAGGAATTTTTTCGATTCTTACATATCTTTTCACGTCAATCTCTTTGTAATCTCCCTTCTGAACCATGACAGTTCTAACGGCTTGCAAGCTCAATTCACACATTTTATCGGCCCATTTGTTAATGTACTTAGTACCAATGGATGCCTTTATTAATTGGATCATTGCCTTATCATTGTTTATATCAACTGGTCTGGAAACTTCATGTATAACCTCCAACGCATCCTTCAAAGCTTGTTTCAAGGCTTGAATGATGATAACTGGGTGAATGTTCTTTTCGATATATGGAAAGGTCTGGGCCAAGATTTCTCCTGCCAAGATAATGACTGTGGTGGTTCCATCTCCGACTTCTTCATCCTGGGTCCTTGATAGTTCAATCATTGATTTGGCAGCAGGATGGGACACATCAATCTCCCTAAGAATCGCATGCCCATCATTGGTCAACACTATACCACCCATGGGGTCCAACAACATTTTAAGCATGGCCTTTGGGCCCAAACATGTTCTAATAATATCAGCAACTGCTTTCGCGGCAGTGATGTTTGCCACTTGGGCCTGTCTACCTGTTTGCCTTTGAGTAGAAGTATTCAAGTATACAACTGGTGCTTGCATTATCAATTGGAATAGATGAAGCTTCTGTTGACAAAGTATCTAGATGTACACAACTGCAGATTGTTTGTACAACTGAATAGCTGATGGATTTGAAATTTTTTTTTATTTTTTTTGCTTTTCTTTTCTTTTTCGTCTTTTTGTTTTGTTTCGTTCCACGATCTTCGATGAACGTGCGAAGCAAAGCTTACTAAAAGACGTGTTTCTCCAACGGAACCAACTGGGTTAAAAGTCTTGTCAACCACTAACATCGCCGATGCTATAGAACATGGAACTTTCCAATTACTTCAATTTTAATTTTACAAATATCGAAGACTTGACGTCGCTCGAGACCAAACTTGACGAGTTACGCGATTTTGATAAGCAAGTAAAAAACACCGTGGTGAGCAAGTTGTCAGATTCAACTGAATCGCAATTAGTGAACAAAATAAAGCCAGATACAGACTACACTAAGATAAATGATGCAATTGAGAAGATTATATCCGTCGTTCTGGTAATAGCTAACTTGGACGATGTAAACGAGAGCTTGAATAACATTGATGCCTTGATTCAAGAATATGGTGACATACCAGCATTGAAGGAATTGCAAGCAAAAATCAAGAATAAACATGCTGCCGAGGTGCAAATGAAGTATCTTTTGGAATATCAGCAGCTTGAAAAAAAACTAACTGATAGCACTTCATTGGAGGATATGCAAAGTCTTTCGCTGGAAGTAAAAGAGTTGCTGGCCCCTGAATTGATTTCAAAACTTGACCTGGAAATTAATCTACTGAGAGTAAAATTGGAGCATGAATTGCAGGGCCTAATCAAGGACAATAAATGGTTGAGTAAAAACTCCGTTTCAAACGAAACAATGACTTCAATAACTAGAATCGCTGAAAAATTGATTCAATTGCAATCAATAAAGCATATCCCCACCTACCCAGATACATGGTGGGTGTTGCAATGTTTACTAGAACCTGTGATTACAAGGTTTCACTACCATTTTGATACGCCTAATAAGGACACCAATAAGTTGTCAAAACCAGAGTGGGCATTGAACTTTATTGAAACCTTTTTGGACGACAATCTACCACTTCTTAATATAACTGTTGACGATCAATTCAGAAAAGTGCATAGGATTGGTACGTATGAAATAATCACTGCTTTGCTCGTTCCTGTGAGAGACAAGATGAATAAAGTGATTCAAGTCATTAATACCAATTTGAACTTGGAATACGATAAAAAAGTAAGGGAAAAGTATGGAGTCTTGTTATCACACTTGGTATTTGAATTATCTTCGTTTGATCAAAGGCTAAGAAACAAATACAAATATAACCCGTACGCAACGGATTCTGCAAAACCTGTAATGGAGAAATGGACTGGGATCACTGGTGATATTTTATTGGACAATCATAATCGTGCTTTTGAAAGCTGGCTTGGGTTTGAGAAGCAATTGGCTGTGAAAAGATTCAATCTGGAGATAATAAATGTGGATGATTGGATCAAGATAGATTTCGATTACCAACCAGAAAAATATGGTTCAGACTTGAGGTCCGCTCGCGCAAAATACTTGCGGCCATCATTTTCCGCTTATGGTCTTGTCAAACTAGTTGAAAATTTGAACTCCCATTTCCAAACGCTCAGTATCGTCAAGTTTCAGTTGAAGTATGTGTCGAGTATTCAGTTACACTTGCTAGACTTGTATTTGGATCAATTGACCCAGCAACACAAGTTGTTTACTGATAGGAATACCAAGAGTGTTTTAACAATGATACCAGGTGGGATCGATACAGACTCAAAGACTTCCAACAAATACGAAGCCGAACTGAGAATGGGGTTGGAGAACCTCACCCAAATTTACTGTTCGGCTAAATTTGTCATTAACTGGATGCAAAAATGGAACGAGGATCTTGTCTTTGTTCAGCTATGGAAAATGTATCAAAGCTTATCCGATGTCACTTTTGATCTGGATGCGGATGACGGATTATTCAGCTCAATCTCGAACAAGTTTGATAAATTGGTTGACAAAACGTTGAGCAGCTACTTGGCAATATTTCGAATTGAAATCAAGCGGTTGTTGAAAGCGTATGTGAATACAAGTCAGTGGGTTTTGCCCGACCAAAGCAATGACCTTTCTCCGTCTCAAGATTTAAAATCAATTATAAACACGTTGCCAACCTATCTTGATATTATAGAAAAGTCGGTATCCAAGATTGATTACTTTGCTATTTCCAGCATGGCAGTAACCATTATATCAGAGTTGTTATATGAGTATGTGATTACTAATAACAGGTTTTCAAGAGCTGGGGTTAATCAGTTGATTAATGATTTCAACTATTTGGTCAGTTCTTTGCATGTTACATTACTATTAAACACAAGGAGACTGAGTTCTATTACGCGTTTGGAAGATTACCCAATGTCTAATGATAACAACCGAAGTTATGTTAAAGTGGTGCAAGCGATTGATGTTCTTGATTCTGTCTCACTGGAGATGACAAGCGATATTAAGCGCCAAGAAGGAAATGCAATTGATAAATTGAGACAAGATTACACACATGGAATAGATGCTTTGAACAATGCCGAGATAAAGGATTTATTGAATCGACTTGTACAGGAGTAAGAGCTAGGCATATTAAGAACGTGAAAATTTTGCGATAGTGATCATCGTCAAGGCTTGTGGTTCAGTTCATAGACTCTTGTGTGGAATATTGTTTGGCCTACGAATATAAATGGATACTGGTAGTATCTGATCTGATTGAAAGTGAGCTTTCTAATCCTCCTATGGCTTTATGTACTGCATGTTTATGGAAAGAAAACGCTGGACCAAACTAGAGCCTTGCAGTATCCTAAGTAAGTACGCAATTAGTGTTTTTTTTTATTCTACGTGGCAGAATAAAAGGAAAATGAATGAATGATTGATTGTAAGATTAAGCAAATACAAAGCGATAACAACTCCTTTTCATCCTTTTAAGCGACAAACAACAACATCTAACTCTCCAGGAGAAAATGCATCATTACTTTGTGCTGTAACTGTAGCTGTGGCCGATGGTTCCCCTTTGGTCACAAGTAAACATGTCAAAATTGTATTTACTTCGAAATGACTTTAGACGTCTCAAATTATTGTAGCATTTTCATTAGTGAAGCTAGTTGGGAATACAGTCTGGGCATAATCATCATTGCTGGACTCCAAATATTCATCAATACCCAATTTGTGCCCAACTTCTGACAGAGTTGCTGTATCCTCAAACTTGGGAATACAACTTCCCATATTCCGATCCTTGTTATGTGCATCCCTGTCATCGGTCAGTGACAAGAAGATTGTGCTCGTCGTGGCTTTGATTCCAATGTTACGCTCATTATGCAACGTACTACCTGCAATTATAGAAGTTATTGCTCCTAAATAAATTGCGTCTCTTTGTATAGTGATATCTAACTGCATTCTTTCCGACTCATTAACATTGAATCTTCCACCACGCAATTTATCGTCTATGCCTAAGCTTCGACAGATCTCAAAGGATGGAATTTCTGTATCAAAAGTTGGTATTTCCACCCCAATATTCTTCAGTGCTATGTGTCGAAGGATGAGAATCTTCGCTAACATGCCAATTCCCTTGCACGCATGCTTTTCGGCTGCAGCTGTTTCTTCTTTAGGGTTAGTAACATTTGCTTCATTAATGATGTTAGTGAGTGCCTTTTCAATTATTTTATGCCCGCTTTCTTCTCTCTTAAATGTTTCTCTAAAATCTAAAGACTCCGACAGATGCGCGTCATGTGTCACATCTTGCTGATCAGAAACGACGCATGTGGAGTGACTTTGTTGCTTGTGTAGTAACTGTAGAGTCATTTGTATCCGTTGAGGGTTGTAATAAGTTGGTACCAAACCCAGTTGGGGCTAATTGATCCTAAAACGTAGTACGAGATGTTGATTCTAACAATTGCTTTAAAGACACTTGGTTCTAGCATTGCTGTCCTAGAAATATGTGGTGTAGATTACCTTTAAATTTTTTGAAATAAATGTCCGCGTATGACTTGAAGATAAATTTTGGCAACCAAAAATTCACTTCAACGAATTGGGCAACCTTTGCTGGCTCAACACATCAATGATGTGTGTTCGTATTTTGCATACGTGACGGTTGGCCCTATGGTATGATTACGGCTTCACTAGCTTCAAATTAGGAACTATTTTTGAGTTAAATATACTTCCAATGTCTTATAATCATTGTTACAATTGTATTTCCTTGGGGTGTAATTGATCTGATATACATGGCAATGATCACATGTGTGGATATGGTGTGAGTATGGTGCTGTTTGAGTGTTGGGCCTCATCTCCATCAATCATACGTCACTGGCGATGCTCATTGTGGTTCAAAGAGCACTTTAGCTCAGCCTGGAACTTCTATACCGTAAGCTAATGTAATGTAAGAATTAGCCTTGAAGATGAAATAACAACGACCTTAGACTTTTCGTTATGGTTGTTGTTGGCACGTCGCTACCGTTTCCTAATCATTACGCGTTTCGATTTTCATTAATCATCTGAAATCAAAACAAAGTAAACAACAACAACGAGTACAAAACAAGTGGCTAACCACTGATTGAAAACGTCCGCTTTTGCATGTAAAAGTAATGTCACTAATACGAAAAAGAGTATGTGTCGTACTACCTAGATAATATAAATCATCGTCTGACTAACACTTTCGATTTAGCAACTCATAACCACTGAGGAAGAAGATGCTCATCAAGTTAAACGACAAGCGACTACAATAACCACTCCCTTGATTGCCAAACTATACAGCACACGAGGTGCTCCCACTATCGATGTTCCCAACAAGTCAACGATATTTCTCGGTCGAAGCAAAGCATGTGATGTTCAACTACAAGGAGTTGACGTTTCCTCCAAACACTGTCAATTAGATCGTATCACATCGGAAAGTCAAGACAAGACTAGAGAATATTTGCAATTGACTGATTTAAGTTCAAATGGGGTCTATATCAATGGAGAAAAAATGGATCGCCAGACCAGTTCAATTTTGAAAACAGGAGATAAATTACAATTTGCCAAAACTGGAGGCAACTATATTTTTCGATACACATACGACATCACCAATGATGTATCATCCGATGTGCCTTTACATGATAATTCACATGTCGGTAAATCGTTTAAAAACTCGTTTTTCGATGATTACATCCTTGGTAAGCAATTAGGTACTGGTCATTATGCCATTGTACGTGAAGCCAAGAATAAGCAAACGGGACAAGTTGTAGCCGTAAAGGTTTTTCATCCAAACAAGACAAATTCAGCAGCACAGGATGCCAAATTACAACAAGAAATGAATCTTTTGCTCTCGATAAATCATCCAAACATTGTCCAATTTGTCGGCCATTATATTGAACCCAATAATAAAAATTCCGTCAATACTTATTTAGTGTTGGAAAAAGTCAATAATGGGGAGCTTTTTCAACGAATTGTGAATAAGCAGAAACTACGAAGTGATGAAACTAGAGCTATCTTCAAACAATTGTTGAGTGGATTGAAATATTTACATGATAATGATATAATCCATCGAGATATCAAGCCGGAAAACATATTGTTGGATATAACAAGACGAGAAAATCCTCAACAAGAACAGACTGGGCCGTGGGACCCCGATGAACTTGAGTTGCGAGTGAAGATTGCCGATTTCGGTTTGGCTAAATTCATTGGTGAATTGAAATTCACAAATACATTATGTGGTACGCCAGCTTATGTGGCTCCTGAAATTTTGAAATATGATCGCAATTATTCAACAAAGGTTGATCTTTGGTCAAGTGGTGTGTTGTTGTATGTGTGTTTAAGTGGGTTTCCCCCGTTTAGTGATGAATTAGCACCTCCTAATATGAAGGAACAGATATTGACGGGGAAATATGCATTTTACTCGCCCTATTTTGATGAAATTGATGATGTTGTTTTAGACTTGATTACGAATTTGTTGAAAGTCGATCCCGAAGAACGATTTGATGTTGAACATGCATTAAACCACGAATGGTTTCAGGATTAAAAGAACTAAAAATTAGACGCAATTTCTTCTTTATACATGTTGTTGTAGCAATTCAAACTCTTCTTTACGTCCTTGAAAAAAAGATGTTAGTAAAGAGTCATTGACGTGAAAACTCTCCTTCATTGAATCGGGCACCAGTTTCTTACTCCTCTTGACATCGTTAATCTTTATACGCAACTCTTTTAAATTCTGCAACACTTTATCAGCCAGTCTCCACTGTTTCATCTTGATGTAGCAATCGAATTGACCAATTAAACACAACAAGTCCTTATTAGCCTCTACTCCCAACTTAAACCATTCAATAGCAATGCCGTAATTGTTGAACTTGTTCATTTCTAAAAACCCTAAACTGGCAAAGCTCTCCAACAATGATTTCAGAGCGCTAATCTCCATGAAATATTTGGCAACCTGTGGGTTTTTGTCAAGGTACAACTGTCCCAAATAGTAATGAGCTTTAGTTGAATGCAAATCCAAATCAGTCAATTGAATACATTTTTGAAAATATTGCTGAGCTTTGTTTAAGTCTTGTATTGGTGGTGGTTGCGAAAAGTAATAATACCCCAAACTATAGTAAACATGGCCGGCTTCAATAGTATCATTCTCCAACTCCAAAAACTGTTGCCAGTAATCAACGGCAGTTGCATATACTTTTTTCTCAAATGCCAAATCGCCCGCCATTTTAAACACTAATGGGTGTTTCAAGTCGGTCAATTGCTTTATAAGTTTATTAGCATGGGCTAAATCCTCTTTTGCCGCCACCCGATCAACAACAACGGTTTCGCCACGCAAGTTTTCACGTATTGTTTCATAAGCAAGCATCGTTATCGCGTCCAAGTCGCCTCTTTCGGCTGCTTGTTCGACCAATTCATTTTCCAAAGCAAGTAAATGCTTGTTTACCGACTGTGTCACTGATCGGATGCTCGTTAAAAGTTTTCGAAACACCATCAAGTCCAGAGATTTCACCGATGGTGGGATTTCAATTTGCGACGGTTGCGGTAAATTGTTGTAGATGTTTGTAAGGACAGGCATCATTTTCGAATAGGTTATGGGCGAATCATTATCAAAGAGTATTCGATTTATTGTCCGTTTTGATGGTAGGATTGACAGTAGTTCGGGTCTGGTTTGGGAAGATGTAGTGCTAGCTAGTCGGATAAATTTTAGCATTGTGGTGTGGGCTTTCTCAGAGTTGATGATATGTGGTGAAGCTGCTTAGAGATGGTCGCCAAATTTTCAGTGTCGCCATTTTCACTGCTTAGTCAATGTCGTAGATGGAGAAAATACGACAAATCAAAAAGTGACACCTCTTTACCAGATTACTTTTCTCTCACAATACTAAATATATATGTCATATGTTATATAAAATTATGAACAAAATACATGAGGAAACACAAACGGATGTGATCCTTTACTCTCTCTCTCTAATAATATTAATAATAATGAAGAAATAAAACAAAACAAACAAACAAAAAAACAACAACTTTATTGGAAAATTATGCTTTGTAAGAAATTTTAAAATGGAAAGGGTCGACTTTTTTCTTGGCTTTTCTGTTGTGGGCTACTTCTTCTCTGTCTCCCTCGCCACCATCTGCACCTCAACTCTGTTGTATAGATAAAGTGGTGTGCAGTAGTATATGCATCTAAATGTTGAATTATAAAAAAAAAAATATGTTGAAGAAAATGTTGAATTATAAAAAAATTGAATAATAGGATGTTGATTCTCTTGAATGTTGTTGGAAATTGAAAGATGAATTATAATAAAGGTGTGTGTGTGTGTGTGTGTTTTACTGCAAAATTATGAATGTTGGATTAAGTAGCAACTCTGATAAGTGGAGACAAGATCTTCGTCCTTGGCTGTTTTGTGGTTGTTGTTGAAATGAAAGCCATCAAGATCAGGTACACCACAACCGTATCCTCTTTCTTCTCTCTTCTTAAATCGTGCTTGTAGTCGTCCTCCAATGCGTGTTGTGTAAACCTTTGCCTTCTCATCAACTAGTGAAATCGATGAAATCGATATGAGACGATTCATATTCAAGACTTGGTGTTGCTCCATTCTCGCCACTGATAAGATTGATATGGTCAAAATCATTGTTGTTCAAGTAAGGTACAGAGTCAGATAACCCAACTGCATTGTTAGTTTGGTGGTTTCCATGGATATAGGCAGTTGTTATCGAATCTTTGGTCATTCCCAATGGTGTAGCACCATTGACACCAGTACCAGCAAAGTTGAGATGTTGTTGTTGTTGTTGTTGTTGTTGTTGATGATCACTTGATAATGAAAGCACATCTTCCGGTGAAGTAGTTTTGATATTGTTGGTGGTGGTGAAATTCAAAGGATCTAATTTGTTGTTATTGTAATTACCAAATGATTGTGAAGATTGTGGTGTGTCTGCGAGATAAAATTGGTTGGAAGTGGTTGAAAAGGGCAGTCCATTGAATGTGGTTACAGCTGTAGCTGTTGCTGAGCTAGGTACTGACATATTCTGTTGTGATGAGAATGAAACATTGTTGTGGTTGTGGTGGGAATCGGTGTTGTTGTTGGTGTCAATGTTCAAAGCCAACGACGACAACTCATAGGGCCAGGTTGATTGGGAATCTTGTCCGCTGGATGGAACACCAAGATCAAATGAATGATGTTTCATTGAGGCAATGGTTTCGGGTGGAATCGATGTCATATTTGGTATACCAAATTGAGAATTATTCACATCAGCGGTTGTGGAGGTGGCAGCAGCAGCAGTAGCAGCAGCAGAAGTATTTGGTGTATTGTAGTTGCTGCAATTGTTGTTGTGATTATTTAACCCCACTATGCTCTGACTTATATAGGTGCTGAGATAGTTAAGGGCAATCTTTGATCCAACAAGCACGTGAGGTACATCTGAGTTTGCTTCTTTTTCATGCTCTCCTTCCTCTTCGTCACCAGTTTTAGGATCAAAATCCTTAAATCGATATTCTTGATCAACTGAACTTGAATAAGCTCGACTGACTTGTTGTCCCTCACTGAAATCATCACAGATTGACCATTGATTAGTTGTTGAATTTAACCCATTGAAGAAATACACTGAAAATTTAGGTTGATGACATAAATGGATCCTCAATTCGTGGTCATTATTGCTGTTATTGCTGTTGTTGCTGTTGCTGTTGTTGTTATCATGGTTATGCTGTTGATTAACTAAGTTGTTATCATGTAATGAACAATTGGAAATGGCTGTTAAGGGATAAAAAATGCGAAATAAAATCCTCGAATCATTGGAAGTTGCCAGAAAAAAATAATTCAATTCATGATTCTTTCTTGAAAGTAAAACCAATAAATCAACTTGTTGCATAACGTTGTTTAAATTGAATGGTGATAGATTAATTAAATTATTTTGCAACAACAGTTGTTTATGAATTCCACTCTTGATTCTTTGCCATGATCCGACTGATAGTGAAGTACAATCGATAAATGAGTATTTTTCATTGATTTCAATGGGTACGTGTTTTTGAATGAAATCAAATGTAGTATGATGTGAAGCCAAATCTTTACCAAATGAGCTAATAGCAGTGTTTGCTGATGCTGATGCTGATGAGTATGAAGACGAAGATGCGGCTGATGACACTGATGAGTGGCCTTGTCTTAAACTTCTTTCGTGTTTCTTTTGTTTAGCTCTTCTATTTTGAAACCATATTCTGACTGCCTTTTCATTCATTTGTGCCTTGTCACTAATATACTTTCTACGATCAGGACTAGGACTAGGGTTCTTTTCAAACTCCAGTATTAGAAAGTTCAACACTTCACCAGTGGCTCTTATACGTTTTTGAGGGGTGTTGTTGTGACTGGCAGTGCTGACTATGGTGGCAGTAGTGGCAGATGTGGTGGATATACTGCCATTGGGATTGATGTTGAAGCTAAAGTTGTTTCTAGGACTGATTGTGGTTTCTGACATGTTGGATACTGCTGTGAAGTGTATTTTGTTAGAACTGTAGTAGTAGCAGTGGTAGTAGATCTTCCTTGATGTTGGATGATGGTGATGGTGATGGTGATGGTGATAGGATGATGTTAAAGAAGTGAATTAGTGATAGTTTTCAAGTATTATTTGTAAAACAACAGGAGTTTAATGTAGTGGCAGTATATATTGGAATGCTTGATGTCTACTGCTTCCTCTATATAGGAATTGGCTGTGTTATTTTTAGTTTTGTTTGTTTTATCTTGTGATTGTATATAGAATCTTGCAGAAGATGGCGAAAAATCGGATGAAGTGTAGAAGGAAGTATTTGTTGTTTGAGAATGTTTAGCAGGTGGTTTCAAATGTTGCTGAGGTTATTTCTTTTGGTAAAAAAATACTATACCATTAGGGGATATGGGAAATTTGGAAAATTTGGAAAATTTTTGAAGAAGGGGATTATTTCGTATTTTTATTTTCAATCTTTCTGTGTCACGTTTCTTTTTTTTTTATTTTATTTTTTCATATATTTTTAAAACAACCAACTACAACTGACTAGTGTTAGTGTTAGTGTTAGTGTTAGTGTTAGTGTTAGTGTTAGTGTTAGTGTTAGTGTTAGTAATAATGGAAGGTTGTAAGGTCGTATTACATAACTACACTACACAAAAGAGTCTAGATTTTTTATTTTAGACTACTTCTATTTCTATTTTCTACAATTGTTCTTTAGGTCTGTTACTAAAACTGTTTGTGTTTGTATTTCTCTGTTAATGATTGGGCGGGTAAAGGTATGTAAAACTTATACGTATCCATTGTTTTATTTTAGGCTCTGTCATGCGTTTTATGCAAAAATGAAAAAAATGAAAAAAATAAAAAAAATAAAACAAAAATAGAAGAAACAACACACAAAACTATACATTAACAAATACTCTTTTCTTTTGTTTTTGTGTGTGTAATATGTAATATGCAATATGCATCCTGTTCGGGTTTATCATGTGCTTAATATGTGCTTATATGCAGTAGCAATTGCTAACAACAGAACTTACTTTGTTACCCCCCGGAATACAACCACAAAACCTAAAACAACTTTTATAGTCTTATTTTTATCTTTGTTTTATTTGACGACATTTTTTTGTTGTAATAAACATCTTTTAAATCTTATTGTTTTCTATGTCTACAAAAGAGTAAGATTGAGAGTGTGTGTTTCTTTTTAAGCCTTTTTCTGTGAAAAAAAAAAATGTCGTTTAACCAAAACCAATACAATATTTGTACAACACATCAATTGACAACAACATAAGCCAACACTAACTAACTAGCTACGCAAACTGCATTTAATCAAAAAGCAGATCCCCCTTATAATATAATACTTTGGTCTTGTTTTGAACAAAAGAAAAGAAAGAATGAAAGTGTGTGAAGAACAATAATAGCAATAACAATACATCAAAAGAGACAATATTAAAAAGGCTTACTCAACACTTCTAGCCAATGAGAGTGAGGTTTATAGTAATGAACATTGAATACAAATATATACTACTCTCTTGCCGTATTATCGTATTCATTAGGGAACATATAAGGGTGAGGAAGAAGCCCCAACAAACTACTATCTCTTCTTATCCTTTTATATCTATTACATACCCATTTCCATGATGCATATCCGTTTCCCCTACTTCGAAGGTCACACTTTACTTGGAACCTTTATGCCATGAAAGTTTTTTTTTTGCTGATGCAGAAATGCAGACGTGTGCCTCAGAATAGTAAGTCAGCAAAACGACACTGGAATCAGAGAGAAAAAAGAAAAGAAAAATAGAACAAAGAACAAAAAACTAATGCCAGCAATGATCCACGACATTACAATAGGGTCAGTAGTAAATGTAGTATGACGTATAAGTTTCTTTTAACCAGATGTTTACAGTGGTGTGTTTTTCTTCTATTCTGTAATGGCTATCGTATGACACATTATCTGTCTAAAGCAAAGGATAAGGATAAGATTGTATATCTATGTCCCCATCCTAATGTTCTGCTTCGTGTATGTGGGGGTGTTGTCTTGAAATGATTGATCTTGATTAAAAGGGTTTTTACCTTTGGAAGTAAAATAAGGCCAAGAAAAATAAATGCAAATCCTCTTCAACTAAAAATTATAAAAATAAAAACCAACACTTTAAAAAAGGAATATGTATCTATCTTCTATATACTCTACCTGATACCAACAGATGTACCATTCAATTAACTCTTGACAAGCTATTCATAGATCATAGAACAGGATTTTGTAGATTCGTATGTATATACAAGAAAGGAAAGATGTGTCAGAAGGATTTAGTATTGTCAGAAATGAACTTCTCTTATTGTTTTCTCTCTCTTTTGGTTCTAACGACATCGTTTGACGACAAAAAAAAATAGACATGGCAAAGAAACAAAGAAGAGCGACATAACACAAACTTGTAATGGGCTTTTCTTTCGATTTTTACACCCCCTGTAACTCCAACACTCTAACAACGCTTTAACAACGCTGATACACTCTGGTAAGATTTTGTTACTACTTTTTGTATCCAGTAGGCTAAATATAAGTTACATATACAAAACATGAAAACAAAGTCATAAAAAGCGGAAAGAAGTGAAGTGAAGTGAAGTAAATAAAAAGCACATGACTTAAATCTAAAGAAACTTAAAGTCGTATAAGGCGTTTGGTTGGTATTTTAACCCACAATACTTTTTTTACCTTCTATTCTACACCCATTTCATTTGGTTTTCTCGGAAAAAGAAGTTAGTGTTGTTGTTGCAGTTGTTCTATTTTGTCGTCTGATTTTGTTTTATGACATGGAATGTTCAAAAAATTAAAAGAAAATAAAAAAAACAAGTCTTCAATTGTCAGAACAATAAACAATGCGACAATCAAAAGACAATAGACAATTAAGAGATAACAATGAAAGAGACAAGCTACATCTTTAAATATAATGTACAAAACTGGGAAAGCAATGGTTAGGAAACGGATATAGTCTCTGCCTTTAAGCACAAAACATAACTAAACAACTGCTAGTCAAAAAGATATCAGGCGGACAAAACAGAGTTATATATGGGGCCGTAAATCTCAAAGGTGTAAAAATAGTATACTAAAGTACTTCGATTATATGGTTATGAGATATATAAAGTCTGATTTATTATACCCTCTTATGAAAATCACTATAAGCAATCTTCTGCTGACTTTAGTAAGGACCGTTTAGTGTGTCATTTTAGCCTCCAACAATACCACACTTCCTCGGAAAGATTATATTCATTCTGTTAAGAAATGGCATTTTAGTTTAAGTTTAATAACAATAGAAGATTTATGCCCAACAAAATAAAAACAATGCCTTTTTGAGTCAAGTGTCTAAATATCACTATATTATCTTACAGTCAACATAAAAGCAAATAGAGGCAGAAGCAATTGGGAGGGGTGAGAAGAAATATGTGGAGGAATTGGTTGGTTGCTGTCTTATATTCTGGCAAACCTTTTGTAAAAGTATCCTGTTGTCTTACTTTTTTTCAACCCTTTATAAGCAGCAAGGCGCCTTTTCTTTCTCCTCATAACAACAAATAAGCTGCAAAAATCGCAAAAACTGCTTTTTAAGAGATGGTACAGACGGATACTTTTTTAAACAAAAACAAATAGCTTATCCGTTGAATTATCGATGAAAAAAAAAAATAAAATAAAAAAGTAGAACAATAAATAAAGAGACAAAGGGATAATAACCGAAATGGAACAGAATAGAATATAAAAAAACATGGAATGGAAACGTATAAACGGTTAAAAGAATATACACCCATAATGGAAGTGGAAAAACAGTTAACAATTTTCTTTGATCATCCGTAGAATGCGACTTCTTGAGCAAACAAACATAAAAATAAATACAATTGGGGTAAGGTCTCTTAGCTTGCAAATCATACATACAAACACACATATGCATCGATTAGATAAGATTAGAACATCCAGGTACAAGTCTATATAAATGCATGTCTATAAAAAGAATATGTTTTTAGTGAGATAATCAGTGCAGTTACTGTATGTATTCCTCCCTCTTGCATCAGCAGTAGAGTAGAATAAGAGGTGTATGTGCACCCAATTGAAGTGAGATTATATGTGTTTGAGTGGTGGGGGTGTAAAACGACAAGAGTCGAAGACAAAGATGGAAGACAATTGTTAATTACACGACCTTTGCGCTTCTCTTTTCTTCTTTCAGATACACACACACACACACACACACACACACAATGACGATTAACTGAAATTGATTCTATGCAGTATGTTGTTGGTCTAAATGTCGTCAAAAAAATAGACACACTCAAAAAAAAAGTGTGTACTAAATTATTTTTTAAATTCAAGAATGTTGTCCTTCTCTCTCTGTGTATCTGTCTCTTTCTTGCGGCTTAGGTATTTCAACTGTTGTTATAAGGTTGTTTTGGAGGGGGAGTGTCTCTTAGGTCTCTGTCACTTCATAATGGAGTTAAGAAAAAAAAAAGTTTAATAATATACATCAGTTAACAGTCTTATTTGTGTTTTTATGTTGTTTTTATTTAATATGCAGATCTACGTTCTTTAATTTTAAGCGCAGGTACTTTTCTTACAAAAGCTTTTAGCCAGCTATCTATTTTGTAAACAACTAAAAAGAAAATGTATGAACTAAAAACAACTAAAATAGGAATACAAGGCGTTACCTCGGTAATCATACACTGCATCTGTTTATTGTAATGAGAGAACAATAGAAGCAAACAAAAGTAGTGTAAGAAGAGGAAAAAAGAACTACTTGCTAACCAGCCAACTAAATCATCCCTTTCATTACGGTGTTGTCTTATTATTCTGTTCTATTTCACTCTAAACTTTAGTAACATTTACAACTTAGAGTAACTGATTGAGAGTGTATATGTCGTGAGTGCGAGGAACATGAATAAGGTACATATATACATATTGAAAACACAGAGACCAAATACCATATGAAACATTCTGTAAGTTACTACATATGCATAACACTAAAACAAAAGAAGAGTAAGAATAAGCAAAAAGTTGTAACATCAAATGTAACATCAAATTAGGTTGTAGTACTGCATATAGACCTTTCTGTCTTTGTTTTTTTTTTCTTTTTTTGCAACGGATTTTTCCATCAACTTTTCCTATTTCTATTTCTATTTTCATTCTTTTACACTCAAGCTAACTAGGCATCAACGGTAAAGCAACGGTGACATCCTACGGCCGGAAAGCAGACTTACACTGTCAAAACAGTACTGATCACAAAAAAAAGAGAGAAAAACAACAACAAAGTTTATAATATTACACCCAAAAAAAATTTAAAATTACGTAGAGCAAAACCAGTAATGCAAAAATGGTAAAGACTCGCGTGCCACTAGAAACTGAAAGGATCTAGAGGTTTTACTTTTCGAAAAACAACAAACTTGCCAACTTAACCATCCTTTCATCACTGTTGATAGAGTAGTTGAAGTCTAGTAAAAAGATGTACATAGATTAGACAAATTCCAACCCTCTAAGAATCAAAAAATTGGCAGAAGTAACACTATAGAATGCGCCTATTTTCTACAGCTTTGCCATTTCTCTTCTTCGTCGGTGGAGGAAGGGGGAGTGGGTGACAGGGGGTGATATTACCAGGAATTGAATTTCATACTCAACGTAAACATTGTTGTTTTTCCGTTTTCTGTCACATACACACACACCCCCTTCTAGCCACGCCAATAAATAGTATTTCTTTGTTTGTTTCATTTCACGTTTATTGAAACAAAAAGACTTTTTTTGTTTACGTCCATTTCTGGTAAATCTTAAAAAATAATAATAGAAAATAACATAACGTAATTCCTGTTCATGAAAAACAGTAACAAAACAGAATAAGAAAAGAGATGTCACTATGTACAAATATGAAATCCTCACTATATCACATAATCTCACAAATAGAGACCAAGACCATCTGAGACATTGCTAATGAGATTGATGATGATACAGGAACCAAAACAAGAGCAGAAGAGAGAGGGAGGTAAATCCGTTTTGTGTATTTGTTATTATTTTCTTCAAACAAGGTATATCTGTATGAGTAGACGTATGTAAACGTATGTATACATACGTTATGTACGTTGTACCCATCATTTGCATCGTTTGTGTCGTTTGTGTCGTTTGTAGGTTTTAGAGTTTTCTCTACTTTGCATCTCTTAGACAGGAGTGAATCCAATGTTTTACCTGCACATGCATCAAATTACACAAGTAATGAAAAATAAGTAACGTCGATTATTATGCGAGTCTTTCATAAGATAGATAGGATAGGACCAAGTTCAAATTTTTACGTAAATGCAAATAGATTGGCATAAATAAGAACCTCCACACGTGTGGACCTCCTTCCAATCACAGAATGTATTTCCCAACACCTTGATTTACGCACATCGTTTACTCGTACTGGCTAACGAAATAGGCTTTTCCATTTGTAAAAAATGTGTTTGGTCTAAAGCCTATTTTTCATCATCATAATGGGAAAACTTTAGTTTCTTTCTTTTTTTTCGGGCAACACCGGTGTTTCAACAGAAAGTTTAAACACAATACAATACAATACACTACACTACAATAAAATAGTTTAAGCCAAATTAGACCCACCAAGACCAAAACACTAATAGGTAGCTCTTCCTTCGAAAACAAAGAAGAGTTTCCAAGATTTGGTAAAAACAATTTCATCGGCATAATAGTCGTCTAGATTTAGCTTTGTGGATTTTGTGATTCAGTCGTGCAAGATGGCTTATTTTATTTTATTACACAAAGTTGACAACAGCTTTTCAAATGCACGACATTTTTTTTTACTTCTGGTATTTTTAGTGAGTCTTTGGTTTTGTTTTGTTCTTAGTGTTTTGAGAGATGAACCCCCCCCCCCAAAAAAAAGCAAGAGCAAGAGCAAGAGGAAAGGAAAGGAAAGGAAAGGACACGCTGAAGAAAGATAAAAAAGAGACCATGGCGGATAGACTTATTGATAATGATAACGTTGCCTAGTATATCATATTACTCTTTTGTCCGTGTTACTTTGAACAACAACACCCCCCTTCCCAAGGAAGTAGTAGTAGTAGACATGTGATATATGTATAATCATAAGCTATTAACTCGGACAACCTGCATCATGCGTTGGTTATAATCGTACTGTATTTCTTATTTCTCCCTCCAGAACAAGGCTTTCAAAGGGTTCATTTGAATTTGATAGTTTTAGTTCATTAATACCAGCAAATGTTAAAGTAAAGGAGACTCCTTCATTGTCGGTGCCATTTTGGTACAGTTTTGCAATAAATTTTCTTTCAAGAGTTTGCCTCAAACTATGCTTTACAAAACGCGCTAAATTGCTCTGAAACCAAAACCACTGCAATTATATTACCTTACAACTCGACAAGCTGGTTAAACTAACTCATTTTTGATAAAGGGGGAAAGAAACATGCTGGTTTAATTCTAGGCTCTTTTGTTCTTTATTGTTAAGTAACAAATTCTTTTTTAAACAATCCTGGAATTCCACCTTCCCACATTCCACACTCCTTTTTTTTTATCCTGCTCCTCTTCTAAGGAATTCCCCTAAGAACTAGAAAACAATACTATCCAAACAATAGAGCTAGACGGAACTCCAGGCTTATGGTTTATCGCTTGTTTGTTCGTTTTGCCTTATTTCCGTTCGTCACTAGGCTTGAAGTATCTAACCAGTGTAGACACAAAGATTGAATCTAGGCCATAGTACAATATTTCTTCACATCGTCAAAACAATAGTCCAAATAAATACTAACCCTTTGCTTAGCATGTAGCACAAATCTATCACCGAAAGAAAACTATCCTTTCCCCACCTCTACTCATAACCTTGAAAGTAGCAGTATAACTAATCAAAAAAAACCATAGTTATTCGGAGTTAATGTAAATAGTCTTAGCTCCCTCCACAATCAGATCGAATCTTTAATACAATTCACATCTAATCGATACAAACTGAATCTAATCTCGATTCTAGTCTATCTATATACAATGTCCATATTATGTGTCCACCTCTTCAAAGCTTCTTTCTCATTCATACCCTTGATTTGACTTTTTGTAAAGGCGGTTTGTGCAATGTTGAGTTAGCCCCATCTCCATAGTCTAAATCAGCACCAACTTTAGCAAATCTGCCATCACGTCTTTCCTGCATCACATTCAATCGCATCAAAATATGTTGCGACAATTGTGGCATCACTGGCTGGATCAAAATGGACAGGATTCGCATTGTTTCAGCACAAAGATAAACAAAATAATTCACCAACAATTGATAGCTGTGTCTTGTTTCCTCACTTAGGGGTTCATCTTTAATCGCCGAGACATATAACCATGGTTCCGCCACTTGAAACAATTGATTGGCTTGATTAATCACTTTCCACCAAACTTGTATTGCTCGTATATAATCAAAGCTGGTAAATTTTGCATCCATTTCCCGATAGGCATTGTTTAAATTGTCTTGTAGTTCGAGTGACAACTGTAAATTCAAACTCGCATTTTCCTGCTTCAAGCTATACCGGCTAATCAATTCCTCAATGCTACTAAACTCACCATCCTTAGCTTGTCCCACCGCTTGAGCAACATCAAACAGCTTGCCACCAATTCTCGATAACAAATTACAATATTTCCCCACAAGTGCATCTCGACTTCTTTGCAACAACGCTTCACTAAATTTACAATCATCATCAATATTGGAATTCTCTGTCAAAAAGAATCGTACAGGATCAACGCCATAATAGTCACTCAACTCCATTGGCTCAACCACATTGCCCAAACTCTTGCTCATTTTGAACCCTTCACATAACCAATGCGAGTGAACAATCACCTGTTTCGGCAATTCGATCCCGGCAGCCATCAAGAATATCGGCCAGTAAATGCAATGGAATCGGATAATATCTTTACCAATCACATGGGTAGCCGGCCATATATTATCTTGGGGTGTGATAAATCCCCCTCCTTCATGTTTAAATCCCTTAGGGAACCCAGTCGCAGTAAGATAATTCAACAATGCATCAAACCATACGTAAATCTTTTGCGACGCATCATTAGGCACATCGATCCCCCATTTCAACCGTGATGATGGTCGTGAAACTGAAAGATCAGATAACTTTGTCGTCTCCAATTCATTGAGAATAAATTTATACCGATGATGGGGTCTAATGAATTGAGGGTTTTGCTTCAAATACACAATCAAGTCATTCTGAAATGACGAAAGTTTAAAAAAATAATTTGTTTCCGTCTCAAATACCACTTCGTTCCTGGATTCTGTTGAAATCTTCATCACTTTGCCATCCTTTTCCACTTCTTCAATACTTGATTCAGGATAGAATGTTTCGTCACTGACACAGTACCATCCACTATGCTCTCCTTTATAGATATAACCTTTTTCCATCATCAAGGTCCAGAAATTCTGTGCCACTTTGACATGATCCAAATCAGTGGTCCGAATAAATCTATCATATTTAATGTTCAATTGTGAAGCCAACGATTTGAAATTGTGTGAAACTCTGTCGACCAAGTCCTTAGGCTCGATGACTAGCTTTTCAGCCGTATTTTGAATCTTTAGGCCATGCTCGTCAGTACCAGTTAACATGTAGGCTTGTTTTGCTGGGTCCAATCTCTCCCATCGGGCTCTCGTGTCAGCAATTAGCATTGAATACAAGTGTCCTATATGTGGTGCCGCATTCACGTAGAATATGGGGGTGGTAATGTAGAATGGCTTTGACAGGCTATATCGCTTAAATAGCAAGGGGCGGCATCGTAGCCTCATTGTCGTCTGTCAGTGAGTGTAGACTTTGTTGTATTGTTGTGGTGTGTTGTATTTTTTTTTTAACTCTTGGTTCACGTGATTTTGGTTGTTGCAAATGATATACCACCCCTACTCCTACAAACTAGCATACTCTTACAATAACTTATCCCTTTATTACTACATGCTCCTAACATCAACTAACTTCCGTCTTTTCAACAAATATAGCCATGAGTGCAAACACAGTGTAAAACATACACAATGGATAAGCAATCAAAGGCCTGACGTTGTGCAACTTCAACACCGAAACAAAGAACCCACTAGCTGAATAAGTGCACCACAATACGGCAATTATACTAAGCACGTAGCCTAACATGTTGTCCAAATTCGTCACCACACCAACAACACTGATCAACACCAATGGTAATAAACAATAGCCAATGACCGAGGCCGAACGACTAAGGTCGATTTGGGTATCATTACTCATAAATTTAAACAAGTAGTGTAAACTGATTGTGCCGAATAGCCCAACCCCATAAATATACCCAAATTGCACCTTTCCGGCCAAAAGAAGCAATGTACCAAACAATAGCACAAACAAAATTGGGCCCGCCAAATCAGAGTCGGCCATAATATCACTAGGTATATCCTTCATCAATGGATTCAACACGACAAGGGTCTTTGATTTGATGTGCAGAAAATTTATTCCCAATTCTTCAAGCAATGGTGGTTCGCCTGGGTATCCCAGAGTACCGAATGCAGCAAGTAGTCCTGGAGTCAACTCACCTCCACCCATTGCACCACTGACGTCGTTATTAAAGCCCATATCCATGGAACCCATGCTGTTGACAGGCATTGACGGTTGCGCTTGTTGATAGGAGTAGTTCGATTGGTAGAACTGCATGTTCTGTGGGTTGTTCACCTGTTGTTGATAATAAGCCATTCTTGGAGGGGGTGGCGGTTTAATCTAGGTGTGATTGTTTTAAAATGGAATGGTGGAATGTGGGTATATACGTTGCTTTCACTTGATAGATCAAAAGTTGTGGTTTTTTATTTATTGAGTTTTTTTTTTTTTTTTTTTTTTTTTTTCAATTTAGCAAATTTTTGAAACGTCATTCAAAAGGACTGGACATTGACAAAGAAGGACCTTTCCTACCATGTCTCAATCTTTAATTATATTCAAGCCGTCAGGAAAAGTTGAGTACCAGTATAATAACAAAATCACCCCATTCAATGATTTCATCTCGACGTTAATCAATGAAACACAGATCAATTTAGACCCAAATTTCACCACCGACACTATCAATCAAAAACGATTCTATTGTTATCACAAGGAAGATGTGTATGTGGTACTATACTTTGATGCGATAACAACGATAAATAGTGATAAGATAAAGCAATCACTCACAGGGATTTACAAGACCTATAGGAAATTTGATGAGTCAGACGATCTTGGAGAGGACAAGTTTCATAGCTTGGTTGACCTACAATTCAATAATTTGATGAAATCAAAACACAATGTTGAAGAGTCTAAATCTAGCAAGGAAGTCGAGAATGTCAGCAATGGAGCTAAACCTGCAACAAAACAGACATTGGCACCAAAGCAAACATCTTCGAAGAAAATGAGAAAGTGGGATAATAGTGGTGAAATGGTTGATTATTCAGACAGTCAAGTATTGGATTATTCCAGCAGCCAGGGCCAAGATGTGCACCACCAACTCAAAGAAATGAAGGTGAATAATGAAGCTGCATTTACGAAGGAGAGTGAGCTCGTTTTAGTTAACGAATTGAATGACATTTTAAACGAGTCAGAGGACGAGGAAGAGGACGACAACCAAAAAAAGCCAACAGGGTTCTTTGGCAGAATTGGATCGTATTTTGGTGGCTCCATTGATGTTGACGAAGTATCAAAGAAATTCAATGAACAATTGATCTCAAAAAACATAGCACCAGGCACAGCGAAAACAATTATTGATAAGCTTAAATCAAGACTTTCCGGGAAGAAAGTGAATATGGTCACCTATAAGCAAACTTTGGTTGATGAACTCACCAAGATTCTTACTCCAAATGTGTCAACTGACTTGCTATATGAGATCAAGCGAAACAATACCGGCAGACCGTATGTTATATCAGTTGTAGGTGTGAATGGGGTTGGTAAATCAACCAACCTCGCCAAGCTAGCCTATTGGTTTCTCCAAAACAACCTTAATGTGCTAATATGTGCTTGCGATACATTCAGGTCAGGTGCAGTGGAGCAATTGAAGGTACATGTAAATAACCTTGACCGCTTGAATTCGGAATTGTCCAACAAGTCGAAAATTGCCTTATTTGAAAAAGGATACGGTAGTGGTGATCATGTGGTACAAACAGCCAAATCGGCAATACAGTATGCCACAGAAGAGCATTTTGATGTGGTGTTGATTGATACTGCTGGAAGAACGCATTCAAATGCCAAATTGATGGCACCTTTGAAAAAATTTGGCGATGCTGCTAACCCAAACAAGATTATCATGGTGGGCGAAGCATTGGTTGGTACCGACTCTGTTGAGCAAGCAATCAACTTTAACAATGCATTTGGAAACAGGAGGAATTTGGATTTCTTTATTATATCCAAGGTCGACACCGTGGGTGACTTGGTGGGAACAATGATCAATATGGTCATGGCTACAAAAGTACCGGTTTTGTTTGTGGGTACCGGTCAGACATACACCGACATTAAGAGATTAAGTGTGAAGCAAGTCGTAGATATGTTGACCAAGTGAGACATTTAAGTGCAATAGTCAAATGGAGGGGAGAGAAGCCAGACAATCTAATATATAATGTAATATAACTGCCTCTACAATGTTTAAAGTGTTGCTATTGAATAAAATTGTCACAATGGACGATCATCTATCGATTGACACTATGAGCCAATGAGGATGTAGAAATTTGAGCTTGATGCATTAGCTGACACTCTTCCAACATTCTGTTGTTGAAGAAAGAGGTCAAGCCCGAGAATGAAACTTGTTGCTTTCACTAGAGCACCTACCTATGTACAAATTCAATACGGGAATATATCTTGAACTAATACAGTCTTTCTACTTTGAAGAATAATAATCAGTCATGTTTGGCAATAACATTCTTAAGCAGTTGCTTCGCTTGAACCCAGAACCAACACAGTCTATCCTCATTGAGGCTACTTCAAAACATATTCAACGTTAATGTGTTTGCAATAGAATTGCTATCAACTGCCTTTTTAAATTCTTCGAAATTCAACTTGCCATCTCCATCAACATCGGCTTCCATGATAGTCTTGTCAACAATTTGTTGTAGCTCCTCATCCTGTAAATTCTTCCCCACCATCATTTTCATAACTATAAATAATTCCCCATTACCGATATAACCATCACGGTCAATGTCATATATGTTGAATGCAAATTGCAATTTTTCCAAATTGGAAGATTTACCACTGAATGCTGACAACCCCGTTATAAATTCTTGAAAATCAATTTGGCCATCACCATCTTTGTCAAACACATCCATTAATCGCGTAGCTAATGGGTTTGATGATATACCTGGGATGGATAAGAATTCATTCTTGTCAATCTCTCCTGATCCATCTTTATCTAGTTTCATGAATCGTTTTCTCAACCTGTCGATCTCCTCGACACTGAAGTTTGTGTCTTCGACAAATTCATTTAGTATACTTGAGGAAGCTCCCATGGTTGATATGGTTGATATGGTTGATCCTGTGCTGGTGTTCTACTGAAGTTGATTATGGGAGGAGGATGCGTGTTGATGATCAAACAGTAGTGTGACAAAACGATTTAGAGGCGCAGGGGAAATGAAACAGAAAAATGTAATGAAAATTGGTAGCCCGATGTGTATGCTCTTAAGTCTATACAATTCTATCCTATAGCTACTGATAACACTACCTCACGGTACCCCACGTAATTTATATGTTCATCACTCAAGCTTCCTTTTTTCTCTTAAATACAATCAAGTCACCATTACGTCTACTGTCCCAATGGAAATAGCTGTTAAAGTATCGCTTGTGCAAAACGTAATTACCCAACTCTTCTTCAACCAACTCTTTCAAGGGTGAAAATACAATAACATAATCCGGGTACTCCAAACTTGACCCTAGATTCTCTTTAATAAACAATCTAGGATTATCGTAAAACATATCCGACTGGTCTCGATAAGACTTTAGCTCTTGTGATGTGGGGTTCAGTAAGTGGAGTGGCGGCTCACAAGTCAAAAACCATGCTCGCAAATTAGGATTGTGTAGATGGCTTTGCCATGGAGTGGAGTGGCAAGGAGTCAAGAATCCAAATGAAGCATCCCCCTTTGTTTTCATAAAGTCTAAAATGTCAATTACACCCCTTTCATTAACGTTAGTAAAGAATATGCCAATGATTATGTTCAAAAGTACTACAAGTGGTGCCAATTGCTTGAAGCGTTTCAACTTTTGGTAACCACGAGCGGCATAATATAGCATGATTGGTTGTAATGGCATTATGAAACGAAACTCTTTGTGCTGGATTAAGGAGAACCCAGCCAAATAAATGATGCTGCTAAACAATAGTATATCTTTGCGTAGACCATAAAATAGCAATGGCAAGTATATCATCATCATTAATGGCACAGCTTGAAACAAATAAAAATGCCACGGAGCAACGCCATAAAATATCGACAAGTTTTTTACAACATTAAATTGAAGGAAGTTGTAAAGGGGTATAGTGAACTCCTGGTAAAAGTAATAATCAAGTGCTATTGTCGATGAAAACAAAGCGCACACTTCCAATATAGACCATGCCACCCACGCAAAATTAACAGGACTCTTTGCTAAAAGCCAAACTCCCAAAGGAACCCACAAGATAACGTTTGTTGGTCGTATTGTACAGCTCATGAAACCAAATGCCAAGCTGAGATACCAATTACACCCACTGATCCTCCCCCTCCATGGCCAATACCTCATCGCACATATGGTCAAGCATGTCTCCAAATTGTTAGAAAATGATCGTGTCAAAACATACCAGTTGAATGGATTCAAAAGGGACAATGTCAATGTGATACGGGCCAAGTTGCTATCTCGTGAGTAAACTTGAACAAACCGAGATAGTTGGTATTCGGTAATAGTTGCAATCAAGGCATTGATCAACTTGGGGGAAAACCAGATTAACTGTTCATTCTGTTGTGCTATTTTGTAGCCTAATGAGTAAATTAGTGGATGTATGGACGATCGTAGTTTGGCATGCCACTCCCAAGTTATATAACCGTATTGATAAACGAAATGGTGTGCTGGTTCCAAGGATTGATAATACTCGTCAGCTTGAAAGAATGTTTGAATTGAAATGGCATTTACTAGCCTGAAGATGAATATGAAGCAGAATAGTTGCAATGAAGACGGTAGTTTGAATCTTGCATGATGAATGTACATCTCGTATTATGATATAAGCAGGTTGTTTTTGTTTTCGTTTTCTTGTTTTTCTTTCAATCGCGTGTCCCCTTATTCAATGGTGCACCACCTGTCTTGTCCATTCACAAAAGAAAGTTGACATTCATTTACTTCCTATCCTCCTGACAGTCTGGATTTTTTTCTCCAAGGGTGGCATTCAATACTACCCATCTGTAAAGATGTTGTCAAAATAGCATAATAAAAGCAGCTACCGTATGATCAAGAGTAACTTCAAGAAGTCAAATCTACAGATCATTGATTCATTAATATGATTCGGAAATAACAGATATTGGTTTTCCATACTTATTGGAGCTAAAATTGAGATTTCACTGTATATTAGAAACTTCTAGGTTAGAAAAGTAGTATATAGGATTAAGAGATCATCTACAAACAATATCTTGTTATAAAATACTATAACAACAAATTTACGCGTATTTTAACTTTTGAACCTCAATTGGGTTTGTAAACCCACATTGAGACCATTGATCTCATGCAATTCCCTCTTCGACAATATGCCGATGTTGATGCTTTGTGACAAAGTTATCACGTGCCCTATTAAATTCTCAAATGAGTCTGGCGTACCAAAAGCTTTTCTTTCCAAGCAAACCTCAATTGCCTTCTTCTCAAAGTGTAAAGAAAGATACTCAAAAGGAATGCTGTATACGCAACCTCAAATGGATTTTATTCCTTTTAGTTCCCTCTAATTGTTTCCTGTCTCTTTCAGCTTCCAATTCTGAAATGATGCAAACACCACCACCCTCCAAAATATTCCCATTTGGTCATCATCAAAACACACGAGCTCACCACCTTAGGTCCTCCGAAACCATATTCGCATAAGTGCGGGAATGTCCCATGACCAGATTTAAAGCGAGTATCAAAGTAGCCGCCCGACTTGAAAACCTTCCTCAAGTTCACCTCGTAATGATCATGAGGTGATTGTTGACGGTAGGAGGGGTGGATGATTTGTTGAAGTATATTACAAAATACACAAAACACAAGGGGGAAACTGCCTCTGAAAACCAGTGTTGGCAGCTTTTCCAGTACACTAGTGAAATAAACTTTTCTGTTACTAATGTATTGAATGATCCTTGTTTCAGCATTCCTTTGTATCTCGTCAAATATTTAAGGGGGCGGGGGCAGCAATCACAGCAGAATCTAATTTATGAAGGTGCAGTACATAGTTAAGATCCAAGATTCGAATTTTACAGCACAACAACCTGACATTTCTGGCAATAGACAAGTATATCGTTGGAAAGAGCCTTTGTTATATAGATGGTTTACCAACAATCAGCTCCCTGGTGTAAGTTCAAGTATGTTAGATGGAGACTCAAAAATGAGTTGCAAAAGTCGCATAGTTATGAGTCTTTGCAACTCAATGGTCAAACTTACTAGTGGCTCCCCAAAGACCATGAATTGAATGACATGTGCACCTTCTTTGTTACTGTTATCAGAATGTATTGCTATATAGAGAACTCACTTTCTAGCGGTACATTTTACTACCTGAAGAAGGGTAAATAGAAAATGTCTTCTCAACTATGGGAATATTTTCAGCGTCCTATCCTGTAACATTAATTCAACGTTAACGAGCTCGAACTTTGCAACCCCCCGCCATTTGCTACGACATACTCTATCTATCAACGTTTTTCCTATATGGGTAATTAGTTCTGATAATAATTGATGACCTAAATGTAACAGATAAGAGATCGACAACTAAAAAAAAGAAACAGGAAAATGTACCTCGGTTAAAATGTTATTTAGAAAAAAAGGGTTTCATAAGAAGCAATATAGAGGCAATATAGAGGCAATATAGAGGCAATAGAAGAGAAGAGTAAAAAATATTTCTAATCGTTTGCTTTCTTTTGTGTAAAACGGAAAAATAAGGATCTATTCTTCTTCTTATCCTTCTTCTTTTAGTGATTGATTATATCATTACAGCTCTATTCTAGATCGTTGGTGTTTTGCTTACTAAAAGAAAGTAGCAAAATTTCTACAACACTCTGTTTCTGCATTGCTACTCATCTCTGGCTTACATTTAGTTGCTGTAGCAAAGAGGAATACCAGAATATCTCTCTAGTTTTCTTTTACTTTGCTCTGCTTCATTAGTGTTGAGAGTATAGTTGCTATCATTAACACACACTGGCTTTTGCTCTTTGCTATCTCTAAAATCCTTTTATTTGCTTTCTCTTCCATAGCCCTCTACGGTCGCGTCGGTTAGTCTTTTCGATTACTGATGAAATTGAAACTTTTGAATCTCTTCCGTAGTCCGAAGCTCGGTGTCTTGTGTCTTGTGTCTTATTCTTGCTTGTTGTTTGCTTTGCTTTGTAAACTGTGTGAAGAAAAATTTTTGTTCTTTAATTACACAAAATAGAGTGAATGAGTCTTGATAACCGATGTGGAAGGCTCATTAAAGAACTAAAGAAAAGGGTCATTCCCAATGTTGTAGATAAAAACATATATAGACATATGAAATCATTTATTATGTTGTCTTATGCTGTGTTGTGTTAGAATGTGGTAGTGTATGGTGTGCTGTTAGATGTTTGATCATATGCTATATACTATATATATGTCTCGGATATAGCAGAAAAAATATTCCTTTTAATTCCGCAAAATCAATTTTTTATTTTTTTATTTTTTTATTTTTTATTGTACGGACGAATTGATCTTCTTTCTCTATACATAAACACATCTAAATATTAAAAGTTTATAGAGAGTAGAGTATATATTATACATATTACTCTCCTATATGCAAAAGTATAATTATTACCCCACGTCTTTTATATAACATATAATATATTACTGTAATAGATCTCTCTCTAACTGTGGAGAAAAGATGACATTTAGGAGAGAGAGAGAGAGATAGAGAGGGGGAGTGAGAGCTTTTTCTTGTAATATTATAGGCCGTTGTATAATATGACGTTTCCATTTTAGGATATTATGCATTAATTGCGGTCTCAGCTGGCATCACATATATAACCACACATACATAGGTACTTGCATAGGATACATATACCCGGGCTAATTGTCAAATAGCAATAATACTAAACTACATACATACATATATACCTGAACAATAACCAGAGAACAATAAAAGTGTGGAAATAGAAATAGAAATGAGAAAAGACAAAAAGAAAAGTGCGTGTGAAATTTAACAAAAAAAAAGAAACTATCTATATATCTATTATATAGGGGCAGTAGTGATTAACATATACTAAAGTAAAGTAAAGTAAAGTAAATTTATCAAATAGTTTTCCATTCAGAATAACCAAACCTTTATTCATTTATACATCTCTTTTTTTTTATTCTTCTTTCCCCCTCAATATACTACTACTACTACCAATCTTTACTTCTTTTCCCATTTATCATTTAAAACTCATAATAATATATATACACACATCACGTTCATATGGTTACACTTTTCACAGTTACACAACTGTTGCTTTCCCCTATTATTTTCACATAATTTAATCATCATCATATATATACATATATATATTCAAGTATACAACAGTACATAATAGTAGTACACATACACCCACACATACACCTACACCTAACATACACGCCTCACAAGATAGAGACAGACAAAGAAAGTAGCCATCTATAGATCATGTTAACCCAAGCTGATTACAACTTTCACCACAATCATAATCTCCACTACCAACAATACCACCCCTCTCAGTCTCAGTCTCAGTCTCAGTCTCAGTCTCAGTCTCAATCTCAACCTCAATCTCAATCTCAATCTCAATCTCAATCTCAATATCGACCTCAAAAACCATACAATACTCGTCATAATGATTGCATAATGTCGGCATCAACTACCCAAGTACCACGTCGATATCAACAACCAGTGCAACAAGTGCAACAAGTGCAACATTTAAATCATCAGCCACATCAACATCATCATCAATATGTCCATCATACAATCAACACCAATACATTTACCGGCTCTTCTCCATCAAGCCCAACTTCATCTTCATCTTCATCTTCATCTTCATCATTGTTTTCTCAGGATAACAACTACACTGATCAGTGTGAAAACGATAATAGACTCACTACTGACAAGCACATTCACAACCACAACAACCACAACAACAGCAACAGCAGCAACAGCAGCAACAACAGCAACGATGACGACAATGAAGAGCACTATGATTTGCAGCAACGCTCATATTCACCTCCCACACCATGCCCTTCAATATGGAGCAGCTTTGATGCCAAAAATATATCTGATAGTCATGAATTGTTACAATTACTAGAACCTAATCCTGTTTTCCCTCCTTCGTATGATACTTTACCTCCTGGTGGCTGTCCAAGATTCCCTGTACTCCAACCTTTATCATCATTCGAGCAAGCAATATATGCAAACTTGAATTCATCTCAACTTACACCCTTTGAATCTGCATCAACCTCATTATCGTCAACATCAGCATCATCAACTTCTGCTACACACCTAAACAATAGCGAACCAATGGAAACTGTCCCACCATCATATTCGCCGTCTATTTACAAAATAGGAGTTGTGTCAAGGAAAGTAGAATGGGTCAACCCTTATGAAATGTCTACTAATCGAAGTTGGAAATATCTCATTTGTGAATTAAATTCCACTCAATTGAATTTTTACAATATCCCACCATATTATGAAGACAAAATATTGGATTTTGTTTCCAGGGATAACAAATCATCCTTGTCTCCAAACTCTGCAAAACATGTTCCAATTAATGATTCTATATTCACATCTGATTTTGATCATCAGTTTTACGACTTTGTTAAGCAGCAGGGTTTACTTTACGATTTATCCACTGGATCCAAGAAGAAAGGTTTGGTTAGAACTTACTCGCTCCAATACGCAAGGATAGGATTAGCTACTGATTATTTAAAAAGAGTCAATGTCTTGCGATTGAGAATTGAAAGCGAACAAATCTTGTTGCATTTTGAAAATACACAGGATTTAATTGATTGGAATATGCTGCTCACTGTGGGTAAAGATATTGCTATTGATGTTAATGAACGGGAATTGCCAAAATATAGAACTGTTCCAAGGCGCAGAAGAAGGGGCAACAGAGCAGGAGGAGGAGGAAGTAGAAGAAGTGCTGGTGGAAGCAATAGTGTCTCTACCAATAACTACACTTTAGGTTCATCAACTGCTCATTATTCGCGCTATAATCAAACTACCGATCAATTTGCCAGTACAAGAAGTTTGATAAAATCAGTTTCTGATGCGAATAAGATTAAAGGTAGTTTCAGCAAACTCAGGTCCAAGTTTTCGTCATCTCGGTTGAGAAGCAGTTCGTCTCCATCGCCATTAGGGTCTCCGGGGCCTGCTGCCAACGAAGAAGTAAGATCAGCAAGATTTAGATCTGGTTCTAATATCTCGGATCGTCAAGATCGCAGCAACATTATGACACCGAATGAAGCAGCGGTGAATTGTCTGTACCGATCCGAACAAGGTAGGTACTCATCGACTGGTGGCAGGAACCAACAGTCAAATCAAGATGCCAGTCATAATAGCTCATATGCCAACAGTTTTGAGGACGATGACGACGATTTAGAAGATTATGACGAGGAATTCAATGAAGTTTTGAGAAGGTCTAGACAGGAAACACTGGGACACACGATGATGCCAGCGGGTAATGAAGACGACCAGGAGGATATTCAAAGCATGTCTGATTTACGATTAGACGAGGATGAAGAAGACGGATTGAGAGAAGTCGAAGCTCAGGATGAAGAAGACTATTCTGAACAGGAAGAGGACGTAGAAGACGGTTTTGTATCTATGGCGAGAAGCCGTGGTGTTTTTGCAATTGGTTCTCCCGAACGCAAAACTTGTTCACGCACCACTGAGCTTGATGTCAAGTGGAACCCCTGTCCAAATGAAGGATACAGCAAACGCAGATATTACCGTAATTGTTTGCGTTGTATTAAACCCCTCACTATGGAGGATTCGTGGGTGTATAAACCATTGGTCAAACCTACTCCATTCTCGCCATTGAATGTTGCTTATCTTAGAGCTGTCAAATACGCAGGCCCAAATGGAGAAGTGTTGGCGTCTGCTTCCTCATCAGTTTTAAATTCTGGTGTTTCTTCTTCAAGTGCTAGTTTTACTTCATTGAATCGCAAGAATGGGAATGGCAGTGGCAGTGCATTCATGAGAGAAGGAACAGCAGGAGTAAATCCAATGATGATGTTACCCGACACTGCGCTAACCAAGTTGCCTAATCATTTTGTGAAGGAGTTTTGTGTTGGTCCGCATGGTTTGGTTCCTAGAGAAATCATATAGATTGAGGGAGTGGGATACACCTACTTGCTATTGAGTTTGCTTGCTTGTTTTGATTTTTTCTTTTTTGGCGTACCATTAGTAAAGCATTTTGTTGTTTATGAATTTTATGACTGGTTTTAGCATGTGTAACTTTATCAAATAGACGCACATTAATATGCGATACTTTTTAAAATTCTTCTACTCTACGCTCAGACGGATATGTCGGTCTAATATCTCGTAAATAAACTTTTATATTTTAATCATAAACTGTATTCATATATCGTCATCAAAGTTTTGTAAATCAAAAATGAATGTTTTCCCAGTTTCAACACCAGAAATCATAAATTCTATAGTACAATGGTTTTGCCCTTAAAGCTTCTTTTTCTTCTTGGATTTCCTGCTTAATCAAATCAATGTCGACTGCCGATTTGCCATTATCAAGATCAATGTCTCTGGCCTTGATATAAAGTCTCCAATTCCTCGTCCAAAGTTTATGGCCAACATAAAAGACAAGCACAATCACTCCACCAAGATAAGTTTTGAAAAATGTAACTGCTTCTGGTGATTTTCCAACCGGAAACAATGCAAGCCAGAACTGGAGTCCCAAGATGGCGACATTGGCAATTAATCCATAATAAGCACCTAGCAACCCGGTGTTTGACTTGTAGGCGAGATCTTCAGTTGATCTACCGTGTTCTTTCATTGCCATACGATATCTAATGAAAGCTCCATTGATACTTCCCCAAGTGAATAAGGTAGATAATCCTGACAAAGCAACCAACCAATCAAATACATCAGCTTGGCTTTTCGATGCAGATATAAATGATAATAATCCAACGGTTGCTGATGTGGCAATTCCAGCCAACGGTCTTCCCTTTCTATCAACATATGTGTATATTTTAGGTGCCAAGCCTTGTTCAGCTAATGCCAATACTGTTCTTGAAAATCCATAAACGGCGGAATTAGCAATGGCCAAGAGAGCCACTAAAATAATGACATTGAAAACCGAAGGTAAACCCTTGATTCCTCCTTGTTTAATAGCAATGACAAATGGTGAAGCTGCATTTCCGTCAGCACTAGTCAAATCAGGATTGTTTGGACTAACCAAGCACCCAAGCAAAGTCAAGGTAGTCATGTAAAATATAAGAATTCTCCAAACAACTTGCTTAATAGCTTTAGGTAAAATTTTTCTCGAATCGCCTGCTGATTCACTTGATGTAAGTCCAACCAACTCGGTTCCAGCTAATGAATAGGTTGCCGTTAATAAAACCGACACAACCCCTTTGAAACCAGTAGTGAAAGGAGGGTGCCAGTTCTTGCCCCCGATAAAACCCTGATCGCCACCGCCACATATCAACACAATGGCCAAGATATTGAATCCAACAATTCCCAATAGTTTGATTATTGATGCAACAAATTCGGTTTCACCAAATCCCTTGTTACCACACATATTGAGGACGAAAATCAACACATAGAAGATTGCCACCCATGCATCACTATTGATATCGGAATTCCAAAAGTTTATCGTCAATGCTGATGCCACCAATTCCAAAGGTAGCACAATAACCCAAAACATGGCATAGTTCCAACCCATGGCAAAACCCCAACTTGGATCAACGAATTTGACTGAATAAGTAGCAAATGACCCAGTGACTGGATAACTACTCGACAATTCCGCCAATGATTGCATAGTACAGTATAAAAAGGTTGACACGATACTCCAAGCAACGATTAAACTGGCAGGACCATTCTGCATGGCTAAACGAGACGCCACTAACAACCCCGACCCGACACATCCACCAAGAGCAATCATTTGTAATTGTCTCTTTTTAAGGGTTTGTTTGAGAGGAGCATGAATGCTTCCTTGCTCAATGTCATCGCTGCTGCCGTTGTTGTTTTCGGGAATCTTGTTGGTGGAATCTACATCATCTGATGAATTGAAATTGGATGTCTGTTGTTGAGGAGGAGGCCGACTCAGTTTAGTTGACTCTGGTGGTTTGAATGAGTCTTTGAAATTGGTCCATACATTTCGTTTGGGTTCATTTGAACCTGTACTGGATATGGATGTAGCATTGAGATCATTTGCACTCTTTTCTTGCAGTTTGACTGATGCCATTGGTGACACGGAGGACATCTTTTAATTTTGAGACTGGTGCTTTATTGAAGTGATGTGTTGTAAATTCTGGATGGATTGTGGTCTACACTTATAAGTAAATGCAATTGATTCAAGAATGCTAAAATGGAGTCAAAGGAAGATGGCGAAGAAGAAGGAAAAGAAAAAGAAAAAAAAAACAAGAAGAAGGGGTGGTTTAAAATGAAAAAGATTTCTTATTTGTTTAAATTTGAAAAAGAACTAAATAGGGCTTTTCGTTTCTTTAGTCTTCTTATTATGTAAAAATATATTAATAATAATAACAAGGGCCCGAAAGATCTTGGCTTATGTCGCAAGAGTCATCATTTATAGCATTGATTTTGTATCTCTCTCTTCCTCTGTCTCTGTATTTAGTCAACGGTCTTTTCTTTTTTTAATGGTTTTGTGTATTTTGCAACTTTTATTGCTTTTTTGTCATTTAGGCATCTTCTTTTCCATTTTCCTGCATATATTGTTCTAAATTTCTTTTTTTTCTCTCTCTCTCTCTTTCAGAAGAGGCAAAATGCGCCTTCTACCTTTCCGTAAACGGCTTCACCAATAAGTCCTGTGAGAAACTTGCATTACCACTTTGAAACAAAGTATCCAAGCAGAATAGAGAATATCACTTTTGCGGAGAACCAATTGGGATGTGCTTAGCTAACCTTTTAGTATCTCCTTCAATTAAGTTTATAGTAATATTTCAACACACGAGACAAGAAAAAAAAAAAAGAGGAAACAGAAAGCTTGGAATAATAATATAAAAGGCAAATGTAAGGTTATTGGCGGCGGTGATGGCTTTTAATGCCGGAACAGGAACATATTCGTAGTGTCAAAAAGTTTATATTTGAGTTTAAAATTGCCTTAGAGAGTAGCTTTTGTCTTTGCGCTTAACTAAAAACAGAAAATGAAACGGAATAAAATTGGTAGCATTGACGCTTTACAGATATTTCATACGGCACTTTTTGCAAATTTTATTTTTGTACTTTGAATAGCGTGAGCTACAAAGAAAGTGCAATCTCGTCTAATGATGCATATAATGTATATGGGTACCTAATACAGTGCAATGCTGCTTTATCAAATACAGCCTTTTTTCTCCTCACCTGCCTGCCCCATTGGCTTTTCTTTTCCACAATGTTTCTGCAGTATCTTACAACCAATCGGTACTTAGCATTGTATATCGTTACCTCACGATCGAACCTTCAACATGTTGAAATACCAGTCTAAACATGGTGAGTGGCAAGGTGAGACTTCTTTCTAGAGGAAATACAAGTCATTACTTTGCCATCATATTGTGTAGACAGATGAATTCTTTTTCTATGTGTTTTTTTTCTTTTTCTCTGGAGTTCTCCGACCGGGATTTTTAACCCGACTGCCGGCAAAATTCTATTTAGTTAAAACTGCCGCACAGTCGGAGATTTTATCGCAGGCGGCGATACTTTTTTCTCTCTTGGTTTACAGCTCCATTCAACACTTTCTGCCAATAAAATATAAAAGTCAAGTGTTTCAAGCGGGGGAAGGGAAAGAAAGAGAAATGGGACTCTAACTGCAGGGATGGCAGAAGCTCCCTTCCAAGAGTGTGATACTACAATTTAGCCTAGTAAGGTATATTCATATTACAGAAAATCACTCCCGCCACTCTGTTAGCACTCCTCTATACAGAAGGATGGTTTGTGCATAGATGCAGGGAGACATTGTCGGGGGAGTTGTGTCTTTTATGTCCAAAGGCTTGCCTTTCTTCTCTGAAGCTTTCTCCACCAAAGCTTCCATGAGCCAAAATTCGAGTCATACTTGTGTCAATATGATGTATGCTGTACAGATCAACATTCAAGTTTTGTCTCTGCTCTAGCCATTTTTAATTTATTCAGTTTTGCATTCACGTCTTTGCCACTTTGATTCAATTTTGTTGCCAATATATATATATATATATATACATATATTCTCACTTTTGAAAACTGCTAATAATCCTTTGTTTGTAATTGCAGATGTTATCTCACAAGTTAAACTACGCACCTTCAAACAATCTGCATGGCTTTATGCTCTCTCATGAGTTGGTCAAATGAAAGCTTTCGTTGTGCTGCCTATGTACCTTTGGTCAACTTTTGATGTATTATAATTAATTACTTTGCAATTTTGTGTTACTCATCTTACGTCATATCAAACAGAGGAGTTCACAAGATAACACATTGAAAGAATACACATTGATGGAATCTCAATTGAAAGAGAAGAAGTAGTAATAGTATTTTGAAGATACAGTTGACCTGGTTGAAAGAAACAGCTCATTAATGAGCTGATTGTCTCTGTTATTAGTTTAAGGTGCAAAGGGAGAGGGAGAGGGAGAGCAAAACAAAAAAAAAGTTGTTACACAATCGGGCTTCCGTACTGGGTGGTGGAGGCAACTAAAAATTCAATAAATTCAACAACTTTCACATACCATTACACACACACCCATCTTCTCAACACAAGCCAAACTTATTTTATCATCAATCTTACTCACAAATCTTTGTTCTTCAATTTCAATGTCAGACTCAAAATTACAATTCAAATCTACCCAAGATCTCGCTAAAATAAAGGAATTGTTTACTTTATGTGGAAGCGAATGGAGCGGACATTTGAAAGCAGAAGAATTTGGTGAGATTCAAACTCAGAGTCTTGAGGAGTACACTAGGAGTGGCTTAAAAGTAGAAGGATTCTACATCGAGGATACAACCAATGGATTGGTTGTTGCTTCAACAATAATAAAACATTTAAAGGGGTTGTACAAACCTGCTGATAGGTCAAGCTTGATTTCTTCGACGCCAGATCCTTCATTATTTGGGGTACAAAATATTACATCTTTACTCGTGAGCTTTGTTTTCACCCACCAGGATTACAGAAGGCAAGGGTTGGCTGAAAAGTGTATATCACATGCTATTTCCACCACTGAAAAGAAAATTGTTGATGACCATTTGCAGAAAAGTGACGATTCCGCCAATGATAACTTTAGAAAAATGACGCTTGACAACTTCACTGGCACGGTTGATCAACAATTGGCAAACTACTATCTTGGAAAGGAGTACGTGTGGTTTTTGTTTTCTGGTGTGCAAACTTATTACAAGCGATTTGGATTCAAGAGTTACCCTCTTGACTTTTACGAGATTCCAGTTCAAGAATTGTCCGAGGGCCAAGAGGCAGTATTGAAACATTTGATTGCGGACCTGGAACAGCTGACCCAACACCAACCAGATGCCAAATCCAAAATTATGGGAAAGAGAATTAAATTGTTGGACTGGGACAATGAGGAGGACCAAGATGTGATTCAGTTCATTTTACAAACAAAGGAATTGGAGATTCTTTCAGAATTAAACAAGCTTAGTTACCATTCTGAGTTACAGGGTGACCGGAAATCCTCAACCTCGCTCACCAACATGACCAACATCTTGTCAATGACTAAAGTTGGATCACATAGCACCTTGTCTGCAATAGGTGAGAGTTCAACTGGAAAGCCAAGGGGCTCTGAAGATGCTTCGAGAAGAAAATCGTCGGCATTAAATCAAACTGTGCCAAAGTTTGCCGTCAAGCCTTCCTTTGCTGACTATAAAAGTAAGGTAGTTGGTGCTTTAGGATATGCAAAATCTGAGCAAAGCAAGAAATTCACCAAACTTCAAGGTGCCATTATTACAAATGATTTGCAGAGGAGATCATATTACATTTTGTGGAACTCGTTGAAAGGTGGGTTTTTCATCACAGGCATGGGTGAAATCATTTATGAAAGTGTTATTCCTTCAGCCAATTCACAAAGAAGAGGATCTTCATTCACAGGCCTCAACGATTTGGGCGGATATAATTTCCAAGATTTGGATATCTTGGTTTCTGCTGCTCTATACACGGCTAAGAATCGCAGTGCTAAATTTGAGAATGTGTATGTTTCAACTCACGACTTGCCCAGTGATATACCCGATGCAGTTATGCACGATTTCTTCATAAACTACCTTCCATTTTCATCGTATTCCCTGGAGGAGTATAGAGAAAAGAGGAAAGAAGCGAAAGAAACTCGCACAGAAGAACATAAAGTTGCGCTTCTCACTGATAATGGAGCAAAAGTTGGTGTTTTGCCAATGGTGAAACAATTTGGTAGTGACAAGAGTGAATTTGAGATTGACTGGTTAGACAATGGAATGTGGTGTTGGGGTTGAGAGAGCGTAAATGGCAAAAGTGAAAATGATGCTACTGGTATAAGCTTCTTAGTATCTCCAGGTTCGTTACTACACTTTTTTTTTTATTTTTATACATTTTATAGAACCCAGAAGGATGCAAGATATGAACTGATATTGTGACTAAATATTTGGCCTCTCTCTTTCTCTCTCTCTCTCTCTCTCTCTCTCTCTTTTGTGTGTGAAAAAAATTGCTTATTGTAGACGGAGATGTTTAAACAATTCTCTTAATTTTTTTTTTTTTTATTTTTAAGAAACATTCAGTCAACTAAAGAAAGGAAAAACAAAGGCTTTTTACACAGTAATTTGACCTCATTTATGCACAGACACCACTCTCTTCAAGGAATATGAGAGGGAATGAAGATGTTACTGCTGGAGCAAAGAACTCCTTTGAAAATTTGGTACATATAGCTAGCAACATGTCACAAGAATTTCAAAGATTGAAACAAGATGATAGCATCGAATCAAGACAGTCACCACATCAAACCCAAGGTCACACATTAGATCATCAGTCACAATCACCCACTCCATCAATAAACTCAACGGGATACGCCAAGGAATCGGGCTCAAATACGCCTTCCAATGCGGATAATTCACCCACACACCAACTGCAGTCCCAGGCTCAGAAGCATGGCAGAGCTAAAAGAATGGCATGCGTTGAGTGTAGGCAACAGAAGTCGAGGTGTGATGCCCACGAGAGGCATCCTGAGCCCTGCACTCGATGTGCGAAAAAGCATTTGAAATGTGACTTGAAATCGGATTATAAAAGAACGTACAAGAGAGCGAGGATAGCCCAAATTGAGAAGGAGTTTATGGAGTTGAAGAAGACGCTAAATACGGCACAAGCTGCCGAACTTCTTTCACGATTTCCTTCGTTAGAACATGGAGACCATACGGAAAGCAATGTCAAGAGAGAGAGTAATTTACCAGACCACAACAACATGGATGCCGCATTTTCAAGTGGTGGAGACATTTGTAATACAAGTCCAGCCCCGGTGCAAACCCAACCTCCTGAGACCATACCGCCTGTTCATCCTCAAAGTTTAAACGTACGTAATGTGGCTATTCACAATGAGCCGCAGACGTGCCACCAAAATACACATGCTGGCACTGTCGATTCTCATTTGGGCAACCCTAGTCTGACATATGATGCCAAACTCACCAACAGCAACAACTTTAGGCTACCACAGGATCTAAGGCTTTCTGAAGAAGTGTTACATTGTGAAGACAAGTCCGTTGAGTCTATTACCCTAACCTCAAGCACAATTAAAGAGCTTTTCATGGAATATGTCTTACAATACCATCCGATTTTTCCAGTAGTTGACGTCACTAAAGGACCTGAAAGGATATACAGACTATGTCCACCTTTGTTCTGGGTTATCATATTTGTCTCCTTGAGAAGATTCAAAGAAGGGTTTTCCAAAACTTTGTTGATTCAGTTGTCGCCCATAGTTAAAGGTATTCTTGCAGAAATTATGATATCACCGATTACGAGGTACAACCCCACTGAGGAAGACGAACCTATTTATAACGTTAGTTCAGTGTACTCGGTTCAAGCCTTTTTGTTGTACTCTTATTGGCCTCCGATTACGTCGTCACTTAGTGCAGATTCATCTTATAGCACCGTCAGTACTGGATTCTTTCAGGCAATACGAATCGGCTTGCATGCTCCGTCGTCATTTACCAATGGAAAGAATTCAGATTCACAGCCAGAAAGCAGGGTGGCACAGCAGCAAAACATGCTTCAAGAACAAATCAAGACTTGGATAGCGACAAATGCATCGTCTCAGTTTATTGCCACTGCTTTTGGGTATCCTGCATGTGTTCAGTTTGACTCTTCTATCTGGTTTTATAGCCGCCCGGATAGTGGTGTCCAAATCCCCGAAGATATTAAGTCCATGTTGTTAATTGCACAATTCGAGGATCAAATGGCTAGGTCACTCAATTCCAACCCCATGGACCCTTGTGGGCTAAGTGATGCTAATGAGAGAGCTTCTTTATTGAAGCTACTCGCAAAAAGAATAGATGAATTGGAAGTGATCATTTCCCATTCAACCCTGCATGATGCATTCAAATTTAGAATGTTTGAAGTCCTAGCTTCTAAAGTGCACCTATTTAGCTACTACTTTATGGACTCTTCCAAAATCCCAGAATTTGAACTAAAGACTGGTTTGATTAAACTTTATAATGCTGCAACCAGATTGGTTTCGTTTACTCAGAATTGCCAATCCGAAGACAGAAAGTTTATAAAATACCTCCCAGGGGTGTATCTACTCAATCTTTGGCAAGCTGCATGTATTATTGGGAAGTTGGTTCATTCTAGCTTAAAAAATGTGATTGACGTTGCCGTAGGGAAACAGAGTTACGAAGCGGTTGTCAGCTTGACGGCCAGAGCGTCCATACTTAAACATGATATGGCTTTTCGCTCGAGCGGTATCACAAGGAACATGTGGCAGCTTTTTCGTCAATTGGACAGCCAAAACTTGAACACGTTAAGCATCAATATAAGAAATAGAATGGCGGCGTCGGTGTTTTTCGATTGTTTGAATTTGATCAGAGAAAAGGCGGGTATGACAAACTTGAGAGTACGGACCGATGACAGGAACCCGGTTCAAGATGCAAACATAGATCTTGAGGACGGGGCAGAGGAGAATTTGCATAAGGAAGAGGACCTGGACACCGAAGCGGGGAAAGCCTCCCCCAACAGCACACGCAAAGACAAACGGTCTTTATCCAATGAGGCAGATGCAGAACAGAAGGCTAGGAAAATCATACGAACAATACCTTTAGATCCAGAGCCAATTTCTGCTGGAGCAACAAAGAGGAGCTCCATATTCAAAGTGGTGAACTCTTCTGCAGAGTCCACGCCGGTGATGAAGGCTGACGTCAACACTCCAAACGCAAATAAATACCAGCAAACACACCCTCTTTCAGCAGATTCCCATCTGATGCATGGTGCTCAAAATAGTGCGATGAGAAGTCAGGAAAACATAGCAACTACGCCGTCATTTTCACAACCCATACATTTCCTGAATCAACAGGGAGATCATCCCCATACCGAATATCAGCCATTTGCTTCCAACGCTTCTTACCACCAGCCACAGTCAACCTCAACTTATAATGACTCTCCACTACAACTGGGATTAGAAAGCTTAGACTTGGACAGGTTTGATAGTGATATGTTGTGGAGAGATGTAGACAGTGTTATGAATGATTTTGGATTCCACATGGGATAATCTGTATGATGAATGGTGGGAGTGGAGTTCTTTTTGTATATGTATATCATCTCAAATATACACGACTTATATAACACAAAGAGTTAACAAACCAATGTAAATTTTTTTTTTCAAAATTTTCATTTTTTTTTTTTTTATTTTTTTCGCTTTGTAGAGAGACAAATGGTGAAAATTTATTAAAGTACACTTTAATTTCTTTATTTCCTTTAGTATTAATCTACATTTTGAACCAGGATGTCTTATGACGATATAGAAAACGCAACTCCTGATATTGTTATCGGAAGCACTATCGAAGAAGAGGAGGATGATTACCAATACGAGAACGAGAGTGACAATGAAGTGCAACAAGAAAAAGACTTGGATGATGACTCACAGCTGAAGGGCAAAAAATCAGTTGCTTTTGCAGGATTGGACGAGGAGGACGATGAAAAGGCAGAGGAGAGAGCTAAAAGAGAGTTTGAAGAAGGCGGTGGTTTGCCTGAACAACCCACCAACCCAGACATCTCTGAACTTACGCCACTTTCACCAGAAATCATCAACAGACAAGCCACAATCAACATTGGTACAATTGGACATGTCGCACATGGTAAGTCTACTGTGGTCAGAGCCATATCAGGAGTCCAAACTGTTCGTTTTAAGGATGAATTGGAAAGAAATATTACCATCAAATTGGGTTACGCCAACGCCAAAATTTACAAGTGTGACAACCCCGAGTGTCCAGAGCCAGGTTGTTACAGGTCTTTCAAGTCCGATAAAGAAATAAGACCCAAGTGCCAGCGCCCTGGATGCGAAGGTCGTTATAAATTAGTTAGACACGTTTCATTCGTTGATTGTCCTGGTCATGATATTTTGATGAGTACAATGTTGTCAGGAGCTGCCGTTATGGATGCAGCTTTGTTGCTTATTGCCGGAAATGAAAGTTGTCCTCAACCACAAACATCTGAACATTTGGCAGCCATTGAAATCATGAAGTTGAAGCATGTTATTATTTTGCAGAACAAGGTTGACTTGATGAGAGAAGAGTCCGCATTGGAGCATGAAAAGTCAATTATTCAGTTCATCAGAGGTACCATAGCTGATGGTGCACCCATAGTTCCAATTTCAGCACAATTGAAATATAACATTGACGCCGTCAATCAATTCATAGTGAACTCCATACCTGTCCCCATTAGAGACTTTACTGCATCACCAAGATTGATTGTGATTAGGTCTTTTGATGTTAACAAACCTGGTGCTGACGTTGATGACCTAAAGGGGGGTGTTGCTGGTGGTTCTATCTTGACTGGTGTTTTCAAGATTGGAGATGAGATTGAAATCAGACCGGGTATTGTCACCAAGGACGACCAAGGAAGAATCCAATGTAAGACGATATTTTCAAACATTGTTTCATTATTTGCAGAACACAATGACTTGAAGTTTGCCGTGCCGGGAGGTTTGATCGGAGTTGGTACGAAAGTTGATCCTACCTTGTGTAGAGCTGACAGATTGGTCGGACAAGTGGTCGGAGCCAAAGGAAACTTGCCATCCATTTATTCCGATATCGAAATCAATTACTTTTTGTTGAGGAGATTGTTGGGAGTGAAAACCGAGGGACAGAAACAAGGTGCAAAAGTTAGAAAATTGGAGGTGGGCGAAGTTTTGATGGTGAATATTGGATCTACAGCCACCGGTGCTAGAGTAGTAGCTGTCAGAGCAGATATGGCGCGTTTGCAATTGACTTCTCCAGCTTGTACTGAAATTAACGAAAAGATTGCCTTGTCTAGACGTATCGAGAAGCACTGGCGTTTGATTGGTTGGGCAACCATTAAAAAGGGAACAACTATTGAGCCAGTAGCTTGATTCAATTTGAGTAGTGAAAAGCATTTTACATAGTATTTAATTTGTATAAATAGAGTTTACAAGGTTTTTCTTTTTCATATTTTGTCAAGACTATTGAGAAACTTGGGTAAAGAGTCCACCAGCATCATCTTGTACAAGTGGGCACTTACCTCATCAAACAAGTCAGCCAACTCCTTCAATAACTCGTCCGGGTTGGTGTCTCCACTGCTATTCAGCTTTCTGCTATCTGTAGCTCGTAACTTTTCACGAGTTGTGTCAATTGTTTCAAGTGAAGACTCCTCTGTTGGAGTTTTCATGTAAGGTTTCAAATCACCACTGTTACCTATCTCGTCGTTGGAAAACCGCGTTAACAACTTTACAACTTTCAGCCTCAAGCTGTACTCAATATTCAATACAAATGGCGATTCGTGACTTATGTAGGTGTTGTAAATTTGATACGCGATAGACATACACGTATCGCGAAGGATGATTCGGTGTTGTTCAGATTTCTGATTTAATGACACATCCTCTTCATGATGACTGACACACAGCAAATCATTCCAAAGCTTTAAATTGGCTTTGAAAAGTTGTAATTGGCAATACGCGTCAAAGTTTTCCAAACAAAACTCCCTTTCTAAATGGCTCTTGAATTGAAACTTCAATCCAGGATCTTGCATGATATTGTCCAAAGTGACTTCGGGCCTAAATGGATTTTGTTTCCAAAGTGAGCTGGAAACAGACCTTGTAGTGGGAACTTTTCTCCACGGGCAAAGTTCTATCCCCTTGTCATCCAATCGGTAGTCTTGATCGCGATCAAACGGAGCGCATTCGTCGTCAGCAGTACAGGCTCCGATTAACTTTTGGCTTAGAAACAAGTTTGCAATCTCCAATGCATGCTTTGGTTTAACGAGATCGGTGCAGTCCATAAGCCACTGAACAATGGCTTTTCCTCTGATGCGATAACAAAGTGGTCCAGGTGGGTTAATACCATCTAAATTTTTTTCCTTATATAGTCTAACCCCGACTGAGGACACGTAGTATTGTATATGCGCGTCAGATTCGGGATTCAGAAAATATCTGTGATGATATGGGCTGACTTCTGATACGTTTAAGTTTGATAGATCTTCACCGGAATAACGTGACAGGCTAAATGTATTTTTCCGATACTCCAGAAACCTGAACGGATCAGCCGGATATAGTGTAAATTCTGGTGTCATATGTTCGTGGAAATGACCACTTCCATTGGTTTTAAAAACCTCAACAGCCTCGTTACCGAAAATCACTCCTCCTCTATTGCTCATGCATGAGATTGGATCTGGCTTATTCATCGGCGACCATACGTTTGGATATGGGCCTAAAAGTCGTGTGAACAATAGATGGATTAGACTTAAGGAATAAATCACCTTGTCTGTAATCTGATCTCGGTCAAAATGGAACAATTGCATTGAGTTGTACAAACTTTGCAACAAGATTTCTGGCATATTCAGCTTCTTGATACCAACTTTTGCACAAAATGATTGTACTATAGACAATCCTTTGGGAGTTGGTTGCAACCACACCTCAAGTTTTGGCTCAGCTCGTGTTCTATCGGCAGGTGAATGCAAAAGCTTCGCTTTGTAGAATTGGTTTATTAATGTGAATGCAATTTCCGGTTGGAAGCTGTAAGATAGACAAGTCACAGTACTTGAAAAGTTGATCTCGACTCGTAGGTGAGCCATTTGGTCAATGGCATTCAGAAGCTGAAATGAATATGAGTATTTCTTGGCCACTGGGATAAGTCTAATTCTTGTGAACGGCAGGGAGGAGCTTCTGCTTTTGGCCGAGGTTGCTGAACTTTTTGAAAGATTCAATGAAACGATTAGCATTGCAAATATGTCCTTCAAATCCTTTTCGTAAATCTTGCCACTGCTCGTTCGATTAAACTTCTTAATCACCACCTCGTGTAGCACGTTTGAGTCAAAGTGTAAATCGCTGGCTAAAGTACTAGGTATATCTAGTGATGATGAAGACGAAAGCAATTTTCTAGCTTGAGAATGTACTTCTTCATTATGGCTTGAAAGGGATAATAGTGAGCTTGAGACAGTGGTAGAACGCTGGTTTGATGGGTTGGTTCTGGAATTTAAAGCTGTGGTTTTGGCTGCACCTGTCATTTTCTGAATCTCCATTATGTCCATTTTGATCGAAAATGAAAAAATGACAAAATCCGTGTGCTATGAGGTCCCCTTTTGTTGTAGCAGTAAAGACCTTTATAATAAGAATAAAATGAGTCAATTCGACATGGCGATGTCTGTAGTTTTAATATTTAGAAGACAATCATTTGAAACACGAGTGCTTGCAATATGATACAAGTTTGAGGGCTTGCGTGTAAGCTTTCGAAACTGCCTGATGATAATATTACAACCTTGTTTTAGGTTCGTGTGTAATGTAAAGGTGTTCCAAATCTCTCACATTTTTTGTGTGGTAATTTTTTATCAAAGTTTTGTGTTCTTTTCTCAGACAAAGTTTCTTAAGAATACAGTCTTTTTATTTTTTATTCATATTAGTGCGACATAATTTTTCATACCAGAACGACATATTTTTTCAAACCAACACGACATAATTGTTCATACCAATGCGACATATTTTTTTACATCACCTACTCACCCAAAGTAATCTCCGTACCTCTAATCCGATTGAAGAACCGGATCCTGTTGAATTAGGGCAATCATTTTAAGAGTATGGAATCATGTCAACTCTGAAATTTTTTTTGTTTGAGCTTAGTCATTTCCTACTTTCATTTCTCAAAGGTTTTGCTGTCATTTTCTCAAGTTAAATGCTGTTCCTTTCCTATTCATTGGTTTTAAAACAAGTGTTTGTACTTTAGAAAGATGTCAGTTCTAAACAGTGTTGCATATAGTCATTGGCATGTCTACAGAATCCTTGATAACTTTCTAAGGTTATCTTTGCTGTCGCTTCTTTCACTTTTGGTGTCAACTGTTCTTTTCTAGATAAGTGTGACCGCTTAACCTTGGCCTTACACACGGACCAGAACTCTTCAATTGCATTGAGTGCTGGCGAATAAGGAGGCAAAAACACTAGCTCCATTCCACTCAGTGCTACCAATAACTGGAGATCGCGATGTTTGTGGATGGCTGCGTTGTCAACTATCAAATACTTAATTTCCTTAAGTGCCTGGTTTGTTTCAATTTCTCTAAGCACAAACTTGACAAATGAGTAAAAATGATCAGCTGTGGTACCAACTCTTGTCTTCTTTTCCGAAATCGTAGTGTTGGAATCAACTTTTCTCTTCTTGTTAGGAGAAGTCCCAGCTGTGAGTCTAACCTTCAAGTCAACGCATCCTTTGGAAGAGATGGCTCCTAAGAATGATACATTGAGACTTCTGGTTACAGGAACTTTAAGCACAGCCTTTTCACCTACTTTTGACCATCCATATTCCCTTCTCATACTGATATTGAATCCAATCTCGTCGATGAAAATACAGTACTTATCAAAGTTAAGTTTATCCTGATGTTCAAGTGCCCACTCGAATCTCTCCTGCTTTGATTCTGGCAGGTCTCTTCTCATGGCTCATTTAGAGATTCTGTTGAGACGGAACTTGCAAATTTTGATGAGAAAGTTATAAATAGTAGAAGCACTTGCCTTCGCACCTTCAAATGTACTCCTTAGTTTATTCAACAAGAAGTCCAAGGTAACAATGGGGTCCGAAAGAACTAACTCTTTCAAAAAGAGTTTGTGCTCTTCGGTGAGAAGAGGTTTACGACCATTCTTTTTAGGTTCCCGATAAATGCCATTAATTTAGTTAGAAATAAGGCGATTCCAATTTCTTTTCCAAGTATAAGCTGTTTATAAGCTGATATTGAGTGCTTGTGCAGCTTTGTATGCAAAAGACCCTTGCTCAATAACTAGTTGCCAGAATCTTTGCTTCTGTGCTTCGGAAGCAAAGGAGTAGTATCTGTATGGACCTCTTTTACATTTACAAGTTTCATCCTGTTCAGAGCTAATGTCTACATCTACATCACCACATTCCATATCGGAATGTGAATTGTCAACTTCAATTTTAGTTGGAGGAAATGCTTCATTGTAATCACTGTGACAAAACTGGTCTCCAATGGAGCTGACTGACTTTCCAAATCCATCAGTTCGGGCTCCAAAATAAAAGAATTACCAAGTCCATATACATACTTGTCAGTATGTAATGTCTGCTTAAGGTTCATTTCTTTTCTTGTTCCAATTTATTTGGTCCTTTGTTAGAACAAAATCACATTGGAACAAAAAAAATAACTACAACCTAGTGTCGTGTTTTTTGATCGTAACTTTTAAGCGACACGACACGAATGGAGACTATATCTGGATTCTCCATTCGCTTTATAAGTAGATACATTTCTCCTAAGTCTATATCTATATATTCCATAACCTAACAACACGAACCTGCGGTCTTTTCTACCGCCCCACTACATGTAAGGTTTGAAAATTCATATCGCGTTGGTATGAACAATTATGTCGCACTAGTATGAAATAAAAATAAAAAGACTGTATGTTCTTTCTGTATACTGTCGTGTGTGTTTTACAAAACTGTGTCAATCAAAAATCAATCAATTACGTAATGTAAACCAAAGGAAAATTCATAAATAAAGTTGTACCAGACAAGTTACAGTGTATTATAGTTCAGCATTATGTCCTCATTAGAGTCATCATCATCATCACCAGATAAGAAAAATGAAGCTAATGAAGCTGAATTAGAAATTGGTGACGTGATTGAATCTAAAATTGATTCGCAACAACAGGAAAATGACGTTATGGGGGAGATATTAAAGGGTTTAACTGAACAAACTGAAATATTGAAAAGAGTGGAGATACAGAATCAACAATTGATTAAAATTAATAATGTCAATACTCAAAGGTTACACCGGGATATAACTAATGTTGCATCAAAAATTAGTACCATATCTGGTTTTATGTATTTTTTTGTTTTTGTTGGTTATATGGCGTTTCTCTATCTCTCGCCATGGATTAAGAAATTGAGAGAAGAGAAGGAATCTGTGGAACAAAATCCTTGAGGAGAGAGAAGAATAACAACAAGAATAAGAAGTCACATTGATGAAGATGTTTTTCCTTCTACTTCTTTCCTCTTTTGTGATAGACGAATAAAATAACAAAGTTTACACATTGAATTATTGAAAAGAGAGAGAGAGAGAAAGAGAGTTATGTAGTCTTATGTGTACTAAGGTGTGTGGGATGTTATCTAAGATAATATCCAACTAATTAAATATATATGGAAGTTTTATAAGAAAATAATTTCTTGGGGCGGTTACAATTAATGAACTATAAATACTGAATCAAATTGAACCCAATCTTTTGAATCGAATGGGAGTTTTTTTTTAAATTTTCTTTTAGTCCTCGATTTATCAATTCAATGTGTGATTCAAGTTGTTTTTGTGAGGTCGGTAAGGGGTATTGCCATGGGAGTTAACAGTATGAGATTTTAACCGGATTAGAGGTACGGAGATTACTTTGGGTGAGTAGGTGGTGTAAAAAAATATGTCGCATTGGTTTGAAACATTTATGTCGCACTGGTTTGAAAAAATATGTCGTTCTGGTATGAAAAATATGTTGTGTTGGTTTGAATAATAAATGTCGCATTGGTATGAACAATTATGTCGCACTAGTATGAAATAAAAATAAAAAGATTGTACTTTGGTTACACTTTTTTTCATTCTCTTGCAAATATAAAATGTTTCAGAAATGCCAATTGAGTCTAATGTAAGACAATTTAATGAATTGGAGATTGATAGAGAGAGAGAGAGATTTTTTAGAAAACTAAATGACACAGATGATAATTGAATTAGAATCTTGTTATGCTTATTACTTACCCAATCAGAGCAATGGATTCAATCTGCCATTTAATATTAGCTTAAATTATATCTACCATATTTTTACTAATTCAGGCTGTAGCTCCTCTTTGTGATTATTTAAACACTTGAGGTGAATTACGATATGGAAATGGTTAGTAGTGTTTACTGTTAACTGGTGATCTACTCTTCATTATTTGCGTCAAATTGATGCCAAAAATCAGTCATAATAATATACTTTCCATGGTTTATAGTGACACGTTTTGCCTATATATAATGCATATTCTGCTACGACCTTTTCCCAAAAAATTGCACCCAATAGAGGGAGACTTCGAGTACGAAATACTCCTTATTGAATGTCCATTGTTTAAAGAGTGGGCAATATTTCGATGATTAGTATCTTTTGTTGTGTTGCAAAAGCCGCAGAATTCTGTCGCGAGAAAATATAAAACATTTTTTATTCATGCATGGAGGAGTTTCTGTTGCAATTAGTTTTAATACATCATCTCTAAAACTGCAACATGAGAGGTGAAGTTATTAGTGCTGCCAGTAGCAGAATCAGTAAACCAACTTTTGCAAATAACAGCATACCTAGTAGGCTCAATGTCAATACTACCAACAAACAAATCCACATAGACTCAAATGTCACCACCACCTTGAACAAGACTGCATCAGACGCTGTATCGAACAAAGCAACTACTGGGACTAATCAAGTATCAGCAAAGGACGTAGCCGCTGTGAAATCTCGTGTAATGTTGCAATTAAATGGGGGTGCTTCTCACCTTGAGGATTCTGGTATTGCAAGTGGTTACGAATCTGTGTTCAATATTCTCGAGAAAACTGTGGCCCACCGTGAAAGACATTCACTAATGTTAGTTGGTCCAAGATCGTGCGGCAAGTCGACGATTGTGAATAAGGCATTGGACCGCTTGGAAGAGGAATACCTGAATGAATTTCTTGCAATACATTTGAACTCCTCAATACACTCAGACGACAATACCGCAGTGAGAGAGATAGCACGTCAATTAGACTTTAACACGAGGCGAAAATTGGACGAAGATGGTGGTGCGTTGAGATCATACCAATTGGAAACTACTGTCGAACGAAAGTCCATACACGAAACGTTTGCCAACATTTTAAATGTGCTTAGTATTTCTTTGGAGAATGCAAAGGACCTGGAAGAAAAGTATATGCCTTTAGTTTTTGTTATCGATGAGTTTGAGAAATTCACCTCGAATCACAAACAAACTTTATTGTACAATTTACTTGACATGTCACAGAATAGTGATATTCCAATTACAGTGATTGGACTAACCACGAAGATAAACGCCAAAGACCACATGGAGAAAAGAGTCAACAGTCGTTTTTCACAACGAATTATAACAATTTCTCCAACACCCACATTTCCAGCTTTTTTACAAAATGCAATGAGCGGACTTCTATTAAACAATGAGTTTGTCGAATCAATGGCATGCCCGTACTATGGAAGAGCATGGAACGAAAGCGTGAAAAATAAGTTTGAGCAAGATCAATGTAACATTTTAAATACATTGTGCTTGAGAAACTTTAACACCACTAAAAATTATCGGGAGATGAATAATGTGTTCAAGATAATGGTATCGGAGATTTCTCTTGACCGCCCTTACTTTGACAGTTTGGGATTGAGCGATGCTATACAGAGATACTCTCCGATGGGCAACCTCCAATCTGCAGTAAACTCTCTCTCAGATAGTGAGTTGATTTTGTTGGTTGCAGCAGCAAAGTGGGCCGAGAAGTTTGACTCTCCAACGTTGAACTTTAATTTGGCGTTTGCAGAATACAAAGCTCTAATGAAAGAGTCAGATGCAGCTATAAATCCCTCAAGATCTTTGTCACTAAATAGTATGAAGGTGAATAAAAAACATTGGTCAAAAAAAGCATTGAGAAATTGTTGGGAAGTCCTATTCAAATGCAATTTACTCATTGAACCGGTGTCTGCATCAACAACTCATAGTGCTTCAACTGAACGAAGGACAATCAAGACTGTTAATATTGACGACAATGCGATGGTATTACTAGACATAACCTTGGATGAACTAAACGTACTTGTTGCAGACGATAGGTTGGCCAAGAAACTTTTGACGCTATAGTGCACTTGATATTTTTGAAAACTTTTTATTCTAGTGACTCATTCAATAGCGATTGAGACAGTTTAAAGAAGAGAAAAGTCTGTGGACATGGTCCATGACTGATACTGGAGCTCGCTGATGGGAAAGAACAGTGAAACTGTAGCTGACAAGTATGCAAAAGCGGGAGTGTTCTAAATCAGCCATAAAATTTTCCCCTTGAATCTATGCCGCAAGTTTTTGCGCATATGTAGCTGATGGAAAGTCATGGAATGATATATCTACAACAACCTGTTTCCATCTGCTTCTGCTCATTAAATCTTGATCTTGAACCAAAATTCCTTTTTTCTGAGTGATACTATTAGAATATTTAAAGACTGGAGTGTGTGTGCGTGTGTCCTATTTATAATCCCTTTTCAATAAATGAACTTGAACCTGTAGAGTTTGGCCCAGTTTTCAAAACTCAAAATTGTAAAGTAAATTACGCTGCTAATATAGAGTTTCTGTTTAAGCAGCTTATACTGAGGTTTGGCTGTCGCAGTAACACTTGTCGATACATCATATTTTGCGACACTTTTCACCACAAAAAAATTTAGGACCCGAGATGAGAGCGAACAACCACTTTCATCCCATCTCGTTAAAGATACTTTTAACTACCGATCACCAATGGTCAAGGGAAACCACATAACAGGCGCAATAGACCAAAAGGTATATAATTTGGCATATGACTTGTTGGACGAGAGAACTGAGAAGAACCGAAGCGCTTTAAGCGTTGATGAGTTGCAGGATCCTTTTGCCGGAGTGGAGTCAGCGAAAAACTTGACCATTTCCCTGGTATTGAGCTATGTGCAACTGAAGGACTTTGAATTGAAGCGCTCTAAGAAAGCACAACTCGAAAAGACCATTGCAAAGGTACTAAAACTAATCAGACAGGACGAAGAAAATGAGTTCAAGACTAACGGCACAGAGAATGATTTAGACAGTGCGTCCGAAACTGAAGGTACCGATCCGGCAGCATCCAACTTGATGGATTTTAAGGATCCCAACTTGTCTAATAAGTCGGTAACGTCGATGTGGAATTTTGAAGACAAAGAACGAGAACAAGAACGAGAACAAGAACGAGAACAAGAACAAGAACAAGAACAAAGTGCAGAGGCTATCAGTCTGAAACGGAAAGCCAAAGAGGCGAATAAAAGTGTTTATAAAAAGCAAAAGCGAAAGTTTGACCATACTTCGCCTGATATCAACTTCTCCAATCTAGGAGGCTTGGACAATGTTACCACACAGCTACTTGAAATTATCGGACTACCTATTTTGCATCCTGAAATTTACACTTCAACTGGGGTGGAGCCTCCCAGGGGAGTGCTTCTATACGGGCCACCAGGGTGCGGTAAAACAACCATCGCAAATGCACTAGCGGGAGAGTTGAAGGTTCCTTTTATCAACATCTCTGCTCCGTCAATAGTGTCTGGAATGTCAGGTGAATCCGAGAAGAAACTTCGTGAATTGTTTGAAGAGGCAAAGTCTGTAGCGCCTTGCTTGATATTCATGGATGAGATTGATGCTATTACTCCAAAGAGGGATGGTGGTGCCCAAAGAGAAATGGAAAGAAGGATAGTCGCTCAACTTTTGACCTTAATGGACGAGCTAACGTTAGACAAGACAGATAATAAGCCTGTTATTGTAATCGGTGCCACGAACAGACCGGATTCTTTGGATTCAGCACTTCGTCGGGCCGGTAGGTTTGATCGAGAAATATGTTTGAATGTTCCAAATGAAGTGCAACGAGAATCAATTTTGAGGACAATGACTAGAAACATCAGGTTGAAAGACGGTGAAAATTTTGGTTACAGAGAATTGTCAAAACTCACCCCGGGCTATGTGGGAGCTGATCTCAAAAGTTTAGTAACGGCAGCCGGCGTTGCAGCCATTAAGAGGATCTTCGAAACCATGAGCGAACAACAAGAGGAGGGCCGTGGTATGCTGGAAGATAAGATGGAGATAGACCCTGTAATAGGAAAAGAAAGTGAAATGGCGTTGTCTCAAAGGTTTGGAAACAAATCGGACCAGGAACAGATATCAACTATACAGAAATTCTTGGAGCGGAACCCTGAGCCATTAACTGGCGAACAACTTGAGCCCTTATGCATCACGTACGATGATTTTGTTAAAGCTCTTCCAACAGTTCAGCCTACTGCTAAAAGAGAAGGGTTCGCAACTGTCCCTGATGTCACGTGGAGGAATGTTGGTGCTTTGACAAAAGTGCGCATAGAATTACATATGTGCATTGTGCAACCCGTAAAAAAACCTGAATTGTATTTAAAGGTTGGTATTTCAGCACCATCCGGTGTCTTGATGTGGGGACCACCAGGTTGCGGGAAAACTCTTCTTGCCAAGGCGGTTGCTAACGAGTCACGAGCAAATTTTATATCGGTGAAAGGACCGGAATTATTAAATAAGTATGTGGGAGAATCAGAAAAGGCAGTGAGACAAGTGTTTCAAAGAGCGATGGCATCTAAGCCCTGCATTATATTTTTTGACGAATTGGATGCCTTGGTTCCACGAAGGGACACGTCTATGTCGGAGTCTAGTTCAAGAGTTGTAAATACTTTATTGACTGAACTTGATGGGCTCTCCGACAGAACTGGTGTTTTTGTTATTGGAGCGACAAATAGGCCCGACATGATAGACCCAGCCATGCTTCGCCCGGGTAGGTTGGACAAGACTCTCTATATTGAACTACCAAGTGCTAATGAAAGATACGAGATTTTAAAGACTATCACAATGGCTAATGGCACACCGATCGCAAGCAATGTCGATCTTGCAGAAATTGCTAATGATGAAAAATGCAGAAACTTTTCTGGAGCAGATTTATCGTCCTTGGTTAAGGAATCTGGTATTTCTGCATTGAAAAGAAAGTTTTTTGGGGCACAAAAGCTTGAAGCGTTGGATGCTTCTGGGTTTTATAATGACTCTTTTCTGGATGAACGTATAGAGATCACTCGCGAGGATTTTCAACGTGCGTTGCTCACTGTTCGTCCTAGTGTAAGCGACAGGGATAGATTGAAATATGAACGGTTGAACAAGAAGCTAGGATGGGACGTTATTGGTGACCAAAATGGAACAAACCTTTCTAGTACTGGAGGTGAAGATCGAGCTGAAAATTCTAAGTGATCAACAGACAGGTTCAAAATAACATACATACGTCAAAGAGGGCAAGGACACTCTTTTCAAAATGAGTAAATGTCGACCCTTGGTTTACCCGTTAAAAATTTGAAATAGCCATAGCTTTGAATCGACTTTGGTAGTGCGTATCCTACTTACAGTTTACTAAAATAAA